GAGTCAGGGACTATGTACAGAATGGTCAGACAGTAAAAATAATGACGGAAAAGGAAATAAGGCGTAGCTTAAAAAGCATATCTAAACAATATAAGTTCCCCATTTAGTACTAAAAAATTGCCAAAAGAAGCAAAAGACTACAAGGAATTATTTGATAAACTTAAATTGTTTTGGTTTGATAAAGCTGGAGACGATGTTGGTTTTTATTTTTTAATACCCAACCAAAAGACTCATGAATTCCTGATTTTCGCGAATGCATGATCCCTGGTTAGATATGTAGGTGTGTAACATATATTTATTTTTTCTAAATTAATACTTAGCGATGCAGGGATAAATTTTCAATATTATAGAGCCGGATTTCACAAAATGTGTCACCGCACTTTAATGTTCTCTTATTATAAATTTATATTTTTTGCAGGAGACAGATAAGGAAAGATTGAATAAACTCACCGAAGAATTGGAAAATAAAACATTTGATGAATTATTTGGGGATGATTTTTTAATTGGTAAAATTAATAATTTTTTAAAATAAATTTAAAAATTTCATGCAACCCTCAACAATTACAACAACCATCATCATCAACAGAAATTGTTTCGTATCAGAAAGATAAAACTCACCACAATGGTGAAAAATAAATTTAAAATATTTTTATTAAATTATCACTCAAATTCCACAACTTTTATAAATTTTAGAACAAATTATTGTTAAACACAGCCAACAAAGTCCTAAAAAAGATGAAGATTCACCTCTCTACGAACATCTTTTAAAGCTTCGGAAAACGGTTAACAACGTTTTAAAACAAATTTTTACAGAATTTGTTGTTGGACTTGATTATAATTCTTTCAAAAAAATGGGAGAGGAATTTGAAAAGATTGAGGAATTAATTAAAGAATATATGCTGGAAAGTTATTCAATTAAATATCCCAATTTATATAATCGAAAAAAGGGAATTGAACAACTTCAAAATTTTTATGATAAATTAATAGAAAATAAAGATTTCAAAATTAATAATTACTGGACAGAACATGTTATGGACATGATAAATAATAAAGAAGGATTTGATGCGGCTATTGGAAAAGTATAATATTTGTTTATGTAATGCCGTAAATATCCTAATAGAAGCCCTGGGCTATATTTTTCAATACCCCTCATTGAGTAGGCTTTTAATAGGGCATGGGCTTCTATTATGATATTTACGGTATACAATTATTATCCTTGTAATTAATCATTGGAATTAACAATTATTACTGAAATTGATAAGAATATTCTTTAATACAAAGAATAAGCTTGGTCCCTTCGGGGTTCTGTGTTTTTCAAAAATCTGTGTATAGGAAGTGCTACTCTTTAATTTTGACGTTAAATCGACTCATCATGTTTTTTCCAAAAAATATTTTTGAGTGAAACGGATAGTATGTTCGTTGATTTAAGCAAAATTTTTTACGCATTTTTTACGCAATTTTTTTCAAATCATTTTAACTATAGCTAAAAACAATTGAACTTGAAGACATAAACGAATTAATTGAAAACGATTATGGCGGTTTAGACAAGGAACTTACTCCATCACGAATTCTTGATGATAAAGTTTCAAAATTAGAAAACAATAATGATATTAGAAATATTGTATTAAAAGATTTTTGGAAACAAAATAAAAAGAAAGCAGCTATATTTCATTTGGAAGGTGATGAAAAAGAGGAAATGGAAGCATTAATTAACAAACTGAAAAGATTTTATGAGAAAATAAATGAGAGATCTGAACCTATTTTAAATGCTACAATGAAATTTTATGAATTTGTAAGAATGTTGTTAATATTTTATATTAAAAATGTGTAGTTTTGTAGTAGGGAATGGGCTCTATTCCTTTTCTCCGCATTTCGTTGAATTCCACTTTTTTAAACCCTTCCGCTTACGCGCTTCGCTCCCAAATTTCTGTCCACTTCCGTCGATTACACCCCTAATGGCGATCATTATTTTTAAAAGTTATTTAGTGGCCTTCCAAAAATTTTTACTACTTATAATAAGCAAAAATCGAAGAAATTATTGGACTTTTAAACATTGAAGATGAAGAGTCAACGCTTTCTGAAAATTTTTTCCTAACTCATAGTCTAAGAAATTTGTGGATAGGTCTAGAAATCAAAATTTTCGGTTAGGATTTCAAGCTAGTATATTCAATATTTATTTAAAAAATCGGACCACCCCGGCTTCTGCACATCCTTGGAAATTAAAATCTTAAATATAATTTAACAATCAATTATATAATCTTAATAAAATAAATTTTTATTTAATTTAGCCAGCTTACAGACACTGGAATGTGCACAATTCTTTATTAAAAGCAAGTAATAAAGTTTACAAAAATTTGAATAAAATGATTTATTCATTTACCAAAACTTTTGATTTGAATGATTTAGAAAGCCAAAATTTTAAGGTACTTATTTAAATTAATCTTCAAAGACTCTTTATTTTTAATGGAAAAATCAAGGTGTTAGCTTGATTGATATCTGTTCCGTTTAATTCCTCATTATTCAAACTTTTGATCTGAATATTTTTAATTTGAAAAAATTTATGACATAAAAAGTGTGCCCCATTACTTTCTTGTCACATAAGGTTGAACCAAAAATAATTGGATCCTTTTCATTTCATCATAACCTTTTTTATCTTACTTATAATATTTTATATTTAATATCCACCCTGAAGATTTATACATCGTTTCATAATATTTTTATTATTTTTAAAAATATAAAATAATTAGTATTGAAATTATAGATAAATCAGGAAGAAATTGAGAAAATCGAAAAACACCAAAAAGGGGAAATAAATTTAAATAAAAAGCAAAAAGATCGTTTGGATCACTTTAAAGAACGCTTCGAGACATGGATTGTTGCAGAATTTTGGTTGAAAAAAGCTTTTAAAGACGTTGCAAAATTTTTTGAAAAAGAAAAAAGTTACAATTATAATCTTAGCTTTTTGAGTTTGCTTGCTGATGATATAGAGAAAAGGAAGGAGTTACCTGTAGTATGGTTGGAATATGAGGAAGAATATCTTAATTTTAAACAATTAAGTAGCAAAATTTCTGATGACAAAAATGATGATAAAAAACTTGAAATATTATCGGTCAGCCAAGTAATATTCTAACCATCTGTCAAATTTTTCTAAATTTGATTTCCGTTTTTGACTTTTGCCATTAATTTTCCTAAAAAAATTTAATTTAAGGTTTTAATCCGCATCAATGCCGGAAAAGTTTTGTTAGCCTATACACGTATGAAACAAATTTTTAAAGCCTTCTATTTTGATGATTTTGATAAAGAAAAACCACAAATTTTGGCTGGAACAATTGAAAGTAAAATTAAAAGTGAAGATGACAAAGTTATTCAAGAAAAAATTCATAACCGGATTTATGGATAAGAAATAATTGGTTTAGTTAGAAATTTTCATGGGAGCATGTACATGATGACAAAGAAATGTTAAGGCGCAAAAGCCAAACTTTGAAAAAACCAAAAATTAAAAATTTAGTATTTCCTTTAAAATAGCCATTGGATATCTTTTTCGATCGGCATCTAGAGGGGGGATATTTTAGAGGAAATACTGTAGTTTTTTTCTGAAAAATATTATTTTTCCTTTCCAACTATATTCCTTATAATAAATTTCTAAAAATTTATCAATATTCTGATCGAAAATTAAAAACTCCAAAAATATAAAACCAAAAAGTTCGGTTCGGTTCTAGTTTATGAGTCCAAATAAATATTTATGAGCCCAAACTACTTCATTGGACCAGCATCAAAAATTCCCTATATTTGATATTTTCTATTTTTTCTGTTATTTTACTATATTCTTTAAAAAAATTTTTAATTTGTTAGATTAGAATAAACTAAATAACTGCAATTTTGTTGAAATTCTTATTGATAGCAAAAATTTTTCAAAATTATTTATTTAAAAAATCGGCTAAAATAAATACCTTTTGTAAAAAAAAGGATGTCAAGTGATATCCTTGACTCTCGGTCTTGAGGGTCTTGGGGTCGATTCCCAGTCTCGACTCTCGGCTTTTTTCACTCCCGAACATCACTACTACATATATCCATTCATATTTTATTTCAATGTAACTTCATCCCTTTTGAAGAAGAATCCAACAACTAGGTATTTCCGTATATCCCCATTAATCTACAGGTTGGGTGGCTTTATTGTTCACATTTCAACTCTTTTCCGACTGCATAAATGATAGTTTTTTGATTATTTTAATCTATAAGTATAATATTTTGAAAAGAAAATAGTGAATCTCTGATCAAATGTGATCAATGTAAAGGATGATCAAATGCAAAAGAATTTTGATAAAAATAATTTTTAGTTGTTATCTACAATTTTTGAAGTTAAAATTGTTTTTAATAAATATTCTTAAAAATCTTTCTATTTTGTGTTTATGTTAGTCATCATGTTTAATTATGATAAATAAGACAAAAAAGTAGTTGAAAATTATTATTAATTTTTAAAAAATATAAAATAAATGAGATAACAATTTAAAATATTTTTTTCTGAAAATTGCTTTACTTTCGGTAAACATATTTATTACTTTAAAGATGTAATAAAATTATTTAAAAATTATTAGCAAGTATTAATAGAAATCAACTTGTTTAAAAATTCATTTAAAATTTTTTCAATTTTCTTAAATTTTTTTAGAATGCTACAAAGTAAATCAAAATCTGTTTTTGTTTCTAGAAGACAGGTAGAAACAAATGAAATATTTAAAACAAAATTTAAAAATTTTGTCAGATTCTTTTAATATTTTTTGCTTTTCTTTCCATCCTCCTAATTTCACCCAGCAAAACATTTGTCGCTCCAACAACTTCAAACAATGAAAATAATTTAGAGGAGGAAAATAAAAAGGATAAGCTAGAAAGTATAAGTATTACTGCTGATGAATTAAGACTTTCTGGAGAGGTGATAGAAAATTATTTAAATTTTAAAAGCTAATTTTAAACAAAAGATTTACCCAATTTGGTATAATTTAACAATGAAAATATTCGTTCCTGGCTTTGGAACACAAATTTATGACGAAAACAATTTAACTTTTAATGCTGATTTGCTTATTAAATTTCGTGTTGAACAAAGCACTTGTCGAATAGAATTAAATGCCTTAAAGCTTACTTTTGATTATTATAATCTTGAAATGTATCAGTTGGATCGGGTGGATCAGAGGTATCAAAATATGTCTAAATCTGTTCCTAAGGTTGTTGAGGTCAGAGTTGATGAGGCTAAAGAGAAGTTTTGTTTAAGATAATCTTAATAAATTTATAATTAGCAATTTTTAGGTCTTTTTTGAGTTAGACGGGACATTGGAGAAAGGCGAACATTACATTATTCGGGTAGTTAACTCGATCTCCTATGTCTTCATATAATATTTTTTAGATTCCATACACGGGACCAATCGCCACAAAACTCGCTGGCCTCTATTTAACAACATACACAACTCTCGCTGGTGAGCATAAATTTGCGGCAGTTACACAGATGGTGCCTACTGGTGCGCGAAGAATGGTTTCAGCAAAAAATATAAATCTTTATTAATAATCTTTTTAGGTTCCTTGTTTTGATGAGCCACATTTTAAAGCTATTTATCGACTTAACATTATCCATCCTTTTGGCTCCAGAGTTGTTAGTAATTCGAAAGAGATTCGTGATGGAGTGCCTACAGACAATAACGAATGGGTTTGGACAGATTTTGATGAGACACCTCCAATGTCTTCATTTTTGCTGGCTTTGGTAGTTTCTGACTTTGAATTTGTTGAGGGATATACAAAACGTGGAATACGAGTTAATTTCTTTTTCAAAATTAAAACTTTATTATAATTTATTTAGTTTCGAATATGGGCAAGAAAAGATATTATAAACTTTACTTCTTATACTTTAGAAGCCGGAATTCGTATTTTAGAATTTTATGAAGATTATTATGGAATTAAGTTCCCTCTTCCAAAACAAGATATGGTGGCTTTTCCCGATTCTGAAGCCGGAGGGACAGGAAATTGGGGAGTGGTTGTTATATTTTGAATTTAATTTTTTTACAAATCTCCCCAAAAAAAGGTCACATTTCGTGAAAAATATCTTCTCTATAGTCCAGAGTTATACACTCCTCAACAAAAGATGGATATTACCTCAATTATCGCTCACGAATTAGCTCATCAATGGTTTGGTAATTTGGTTACTATGCGTTGGTGGAGTGATTTATGGCTTATTGAAGGTGTTGCGACTTTGATGGTTCTGTTTTTTACTGTAAAACTTAAAAAATAATAATTTAAGGAATATTTGGGTACAGATGCAATCAACAACGGCAGCTTTAGAATGCGTGATTATTTTAATATTAAAGACTTAAGCACCGCATTTGACCGAGATTCTCGAACAACATCACATCCTTTATTCTTTGAAATTCAAAAAGCTGAAGATGTTAACGAAGCTTTTGACCCAATAACTTACAGCAAAGGTGCAAGCGTTTTGAGGATGATAAGATCTGTGATGGGCGAAGAATACTTTAAAAGTGGAGTAAATGTAAAATTTGATATTTTAATTATTTTACTGTGATGGATTTTATCATAACCCTTAAGATAATACCGTAAAAGCTCGAATAATTACCCTCTCTCAAATAATTACCCCTTAAACAACTAAGTACACTCTCTTCTTCCTACACAAATTTTGAAAATATTGAAAAAGTCTGTCATTTTTAATCGCTGAAACATACATTTTAAGACAAAATATCAAAAAAAGAGATCCATTTCCTCCTCGATATATTGAGATATACCAAAAATTTAGCTCTCCTCTCGATTAATTACCCCCTCCAGCGAAAGGTCAAAACAATAATTACCCAGGGTAATTATTCGAGCATATACGGTAATTTACTTATGTTTAACATAAGTAAAATAGATATATCTCTAATAATTTTTCTAAAGATCTACTTAAACCGTTTCAAATACCAAAATGCCGAACACTCTGACCTATGGGATGCATTAACAGAAGCAGTCCCCCAGCATCTACTTGACAGAGAAGGAAACTCTTTTAATGCTACAAAGTTCGCAAAATATTGGACTGAAGAAACCGGATTCCCTGTTCTAAAAGCATGTTCTAATTTAAAAATAAATTAAGAGTTTTATTTTAGGTAAAACGAATTTCTCCCAACAAAATTTTGTTAACTCAACAACGTTTTCGTCTAGACAATAACCTTAATTTAACCAAAAATTTTGCTTATATCCATCACGTAAAAATTTTTTATGTGAAACCGTAATCCCTGCGGGATTCCATTAAATTTGGGACGGGATTAGTGAAATACAAGATTTACGGTATTAACCCAAAGCTATCGTTCCAGTCGATCTTTAAAAAATAATCCGGTTAGCGATCCCGGATTTGCGATTTTCCTGCAATCTAAACTGAAGCTTGAAAGATATGCCATTTAGATAACATTTATTTTTTCTAAGATATCAAAAATCTAGTTTTTAAAGGAGAGAAAAATTCACAAGATGATGGAAAGAAATATTGAAGAGGAAAATGAAGTTAAATGGGATATTCCTATTTGGTATAGTATTAATGGAACAGAACAACCAATGCTTTGGTTAAAAGACTCAACGGAAACGAGTGATGGGGATTTAATCGTTTTAAATTTTCGTTCTGAAGGATTTTATAGAGTACAATATGCCCCTGATGAAATGCAACAAATTCGACAACAATTATTTGATAACCATACGGTTGGTTTTTATTATGGGGTTGGAAAAACGATGGACAATTAATTGTAAAACAATTAAGTGGTCTGAAACAAAATAAATTTTCTAATTTGTTATCCTAAACATTTTCTACAAATTATAGAAAATTTCAATGAATAGCAGAGTGCGTATAATTAATGATGCATTTACATTAGCAGAGGGTGGTTATTTGCCTTATGAAGTGAAGATTTTTTTAAACCTAACAAATTATGTTTTAAAGGATACTTTAAATTTAACCAAATATTTGGTAAAAGAAGAGGAATACCCACCTTGGGAAATGGCTTTGACTGGCTTTAATGTAATACAAAATTATTTTGATGATGAACCTGAAAATGAGGATCTGGGGGTAAAAATATTTTTTGAGGAAAAAATTTTATTTTAAAAATCTTATAAAATTGACTCAAGTTTGGATAAAATTATTAAACCAATTTTTATTTAAAAATTGGAAGCAAAAACTTTTGATTACCTTATTTACTCAAATAATCTCCATACCTCAAATAATTCCTCCCTATTAATTGCCCCCCCCTCCAGTGAGAATTTAAATAATTACACGGGTAATTATTTGAGTAAATTCAGTAATTGTTTAAAAATAAATTTTTAATAGGCTTATATTAAATTATTAATTGGTGACATTTTTGATCGTGAATTGGATAAAATTGGAGAATGGAAATCCGAAGACAAAGAAAAAGATTTCTTTAATGAGTAAATATTTAATTATTAAAACAATATTTTTCCTTATTATCTAAGTTTGCTTCATCAACGAATAGTTCAAACAATGTGTACATTAAGAGATTCACGTTGCATAAACGCTATTCTTGACATTTATCGGCGTCAATTTGTGAATTTCTGTACAAACTTAATTACAAGAGAGAATAATATTAACAATTCAGTGTAAAGAATTTTTTAATAAGAGGGCGGATTTTTATAGTACATTAAAAAATGTACAATATGCATAAAAAATTGCAAAATATGAAAGAAACCCAAAATATCCACGCAAATATGCAAGAAAAATACAATTTATACCTAGAAATTTTACACTTTTTAGTCAAATTATACAGGGTAATTACCTAATTTCTTGTTAGGATATCTGAGGGATTGTGATAGGTGGGAGATGCGAGATATGTTTATGAACTCCAATTCGGTGTTAAAACAATTTGGAGTAGGTGAGAGATTTGGATAGTTGAGAATCTGTTATAATAATGATTTTGAAGAAAAGGTCGATATGATAAAGATTTTAGTTATTTAGTTAAATTTAGAATAATTCTCTTATTTATTTTTAGATTACCTTCTTTACCCCATATACAAGAAAGAAAAATGGCTAGTCAATGTTCCAAAATACCTGCAACTTTTCGAACTCTAGCTTATTGTGAAGGTGTTCATTATGGAACGGAACAAGATTGGAATTTAGTTTTGGAATTATTTAGAAATGAAATTGTTCAAGTAGAGAAGGAACGTTTACTTATAGCGTTGGCGTGTTCTAGAGATACACTTACATTAAAAATGTAAATTCAATAAAAATTTTTTAAAATATTCTACTAAAATTCATCAGTGAGATAATTAAGAGAGAGTTTTATTACATCTTTTACTTTGAACTTAAAAATGTTTTGAAAATTTTTATGTAAATAGGTCGGAAATAGGCTCAACCAGTTATTAAGTTGATTTTTGATTTAAAAAATCCCTCCAGTTTATGGTTAAATATTTTCAAAAAATTTCATGTTTATTGGCAAGTCTGTAGCAATTCTATTTTTTAAATTCCGAGTTTTCTTAAATTTATTTTTAAGGCTTCTTACAATGGCCATTGATCTTAACAATACAATTATCCGTTTACAAGACAGTCCTTCGGTTTTCAAGTATGTTGGAAGTAGAATTATTGGAAAGAAAATAATTTTGGATTTTTTTATTGATAAATGGCCAATAATTTATCAAAAGTAAGAAAAGGAAAATTTTATAAAAAATGTTTTTTTAAGTTTTAAAGACCAACAACGTATGTTACGTTCAATTATTTCTTCATCAATTATTGGCAAATCTCAAAGGGTTATGGACCAAGTAGAGAACTTTCTTAGTGAAAATCAGAAAACTACAAAGTGTTTTTTATAATATTTTTAAATTTGTTTAAAAAATTTAACTTTTGTGAAAAAAAAATTCAGGAAAATTTAAAAAAATTTACCCAAAATTTTTTAATTTTATAATTTTTAAAGAAATTTGGATATATTTAAACAACGTTTGGAGGTTCTTCAAACCAATACACGTTGGATACAGAAGAATTTTAATAAACTAGCCCATTGGTTTAGGTAAATAAAATTAATTAAATTTAAAATTATTTTTAAACAATTAATAGAGAACATAGTGGTCATTAGAATGGCAAAATTAAAAAAATTCACTTGAAATCTAAACACATTTAATTTTATTCAATTTATTTTTACGTTAATTGATAAAAACTACACCTTTTGTTTACATTTTGCGAGGAAAGAACAAATAAAAAGGTAAAGAAACACAGACTAAACAAATCCCATTTAACGCCCACTTAAATTAATAAACACAACACTTAAAAGGGTGAAGGATGCAAGCAAGATCAGTCACTAAACGCATTTCTCTTAGCTAGCGAAGGAATATGACAAGAAAAATTCTCAATGTTTTTCCTATTTTTAAAAAAAAATTGAAAGATAAAGCCACAGTCTCTATTTGAACCACAGTCTCTAATATAACCATACGAAATTGGAAGGTTGAAAAATAGAACCATTATGAATTTATTAGAATAAATACGGTATATTAAAAAGGGTGAGGGGAAAGGACCCGGCGGTTCCCCAGCATTAGCCAAAAAGGAATTGGGAAGACGAGATTGGCATATAATGTAAAAATATTGAGGAACATTTTAAATGGGGCGTGGTTTAATCTCATAAATTTTTATATTTTCTTTATTCTTTTTCCAATCTCTACATACTTCCACTCTCTGTTTATGCCGTTGTCCCCACCAGTAGCAAACAGTTTGATTGAACTCATAAAGTCAAGTAGAACCAAATTTTATTATTCTCTTCAAACGTTACATTTTTTAATAATGTTCAAATCGAAATTGTTTTGATAATTGTTGTAGATAAACATTAAATTTTGTAATTGTATTTTGTAAATTTTAATTATATTTGTGTTGGGATCTGGGGTTCCGAAGCCTTTCGAGGATTTACAATTTGTATTATTTAAATTACTTTATTTACATTTAACTATTTACAAATAAATATATCCATCAAAAAGGAGTGAGAGGGAACAATTAAAAGAGTCTGGCCCGATCTCACATAAACACTTTTAATTAGATATATAAATGGCCATTTTGGATGAGTATTTATAGGCAACATTTATCAGAAACGCTAATTAATTGGTTGCTAATAATTATCAGAATTAAACGAAGATACGAGATTGAATAAAAATTTTAGTATAGCACCTTAAACTTGGGTAATTAAACCAAAAAACAATGAAACGTGTGAACGAAATAAATGTGAAATTAATTTAAATCGCGAAAGTGGTAAAAAATGATAATGTTTTTGTGTCGGGTCAGGATCACCCGTCAAATAGAATTGGATGGCAAAACATTGTTGTCGAGGTGCTCCTTACTGTTCCCGCCCCTTGGCCAAAGAAGGCTTGGGGGTCGGTCACAGTAAGGAGCACCTTTTGAAGAATGTGGTTGTCCCAAGTGGGATAATTGGAGAATGAAGTTGAGTTGGTAGGGGTATATTTCTTTATATAGTGGGGGTTGATTATTATCTTCTTTATAAAATAAATTATTTACATTCAAAAAAAATGTGGTGAGAATGTTGGAAAAGGCGAAATTGAAGTTAAAAAAATTGTTGCCGGACCGAAGAAATTGTTGCCGGACCTTATCTTTTCTTATCTTTTCTTATCTTTTCTTATATTTTCTTATCTTTTCTTATCTTTTCTTATCTTTTCTTATATTTTCTTATCTTTTCTTATATTTTCTTATCTTTTCTTATCTTTTCTTATCTTTTCTTATATTTTCTTATCTTTTCTTATATTTTCTTATATTTTCTTATCTTTTCTTATATTTTCTTATCTTTTCTTATATTTCATTATCTTTTCTTATATTTTCTTATCGTTTCTTATTTTTCTTATCCACTCTCTGTTTATGCCGTTGTCCCCAACAGTAGCAATCAGTTTGATTGAACTCATAATGTCAAGTAGAACCAAATTTTATTATTCTCTTCAAACGTTACATTTTTTAATAATGTTCAAATCGAAATTGTTTTGATAATTGTTGTAGAAAAAATTCCATCCAAAAAATTCCATCTTTAGGGGTGTAAACCGGTTATCGCCGGTTTTCGACCCCCGGTTTTCGTTTTCGGTTAATTTGCAAAAAACAACGGTTTTCGATTTCGGTTCGGTTAACCTCTGTGAGCAACCCTAATATGAAACTATGGTACTTTTCGGTTATGAGGTTACACATTTACAAATTTTAAAAAGTTCTCAAAATGGTCAATATAATTATATATTTTATTTATAATTTACGCATAAATTATAAATAAGTATTTTCCCAGTCCAATCACCCTTTCTATGAATAAATTGTACCGATAGGAGGGAAAGGGTTTTCAATCACATTCATTTTAAGAATGGCTTTAAATTTTATTTCTCTCTATAAACTAACATCTCTTTATAAACTAACATGGCGCGAAGAATGCAAAAATAGAGAATGGATACATTCGATACTATTTTAGAGCAAATAGTTGCATTTATGCCACCTTGTTAATTATATTGACCATTTTGAGAACTTTTTAAAATTTGTAATGTGTAACCTCATAACCGAAAAGTAAAACTATTTTTTAAATAATTTTTTAATTGTAAAATGACCAATAAAAATTTAAGCAAAATTGGGGTTATGTACACTTTATTCTAATCTAATAAATGAAAAAATATATATGTACATAAAGTTTAAAATCAAATAGAAAGTATAGAAATATATACAGGGGTTTGGGGGGGGGTGGGGGTGGAGTTGTTTTTTTTTGTTTTTTATTTTTAAAGTTTTTTTTGTTTTTTAAATTTTGTTGCTAAATATGTGAAAAATTATAAAGATAAAAATAATTTTATAGTTACAGATTAGTTTTAAATAGAGTTGTTCATGACCGGTTTTAAAACCGAAAATTTTGATAATTTTGCCAAATATTAAAGCGTTTTTACAAATTAAAAAAAACCGAAAATTCTGAAAATGAGTGATTTTATTAAAAGCCTCCAACATAAAAACGGTATTTGACAAAACTGAAGACCGAAAACAGGGTTTTTAAATTTTGGATTAACCGAAAACCGGGGATACCGGTTAATAACCGGTAGTTGAACAACCCTATTTTTAAACTAAAACGGATATGAGAAAGAATATCTTTCATATGTTTTTTTGAAATAAGATTTTTGAAAAAATTTAAACAGGATTTTTTATGAAGCTTGTTCCGTGTTGGTCTAGACTTTTTGATTATGTGAAAGAATAACTTTAAATAAGGCAAAAGTAAAAAATTCGGCTGAGTCAACAAAAGATTAATTTTCCTAAGCTTTTGCCAAGAATATCAGAAAATATTTGCCTGAAACGCTAAATTAGGAAGGTTTCTGGCTTGGCCTTTTGAAAATTAAAATTTTACAATTTAGCCTATGAAACCAAAAAGCTTTTCTCGTCTTGTAACTTTTTGGTTTGATACACACAAACATATAGGTAAATTAGAAATAAAATTTGGAAGAAATTATACATGGAAATCAAAAGGTTTTCTGTTAAAATTTAACAATTCGCTCATGAATTTTCTCAAAATGATCAGGGAAACATAAAAAAAGGGGGCGTCAGCCGAAGAATTGGCTCACAATCATTAAAACCGTCAATCGTAAAAAGATTGTTTGTCGCATATATTTGGTTGAACGTATAAAATTGTTGTTGTTCGAGTCAAGTTTTCAATCACGTTTATCTTTTCCAAGATATGGATTAAATTGAGGATATGTATCATATTGAGGATGTTGTTGATCATATTGAGTATGTTGAGGATGTTGCTGATATGTATAATATTGAGGATGTTGCTGATTACTCATAAACGGATTATTCATCATATCTTCTGTTCATAATAAGTTAATAAATTATTTAGTTTATATTTTTTAATTATATTGTAAGGCGGAAATAGGATTGAAAAATATTAAACTAACTTTCCCAGCGACCCCGCCTATCCATACCAATATAATCAAAGGAAAAGGAGACAAAGGGGATCATTCAGTTAGTCAGTATATTAATCAGTCAAGTAAATGGTCTTCATATTTATTGCCCGATCGGAGGAACTAGTCGTCGCCCGTTTAATCGCTCTTAAGGGGTGAGCTGTGAATTTTGTCCAGCAGGAATAACAACACAATTAATTAGTATTCACTTCGTTATTCTGGGTTCTATACTGGGTATGGATACTGGGTATGGACTCAGCAAATTTCTATATCAAATTTACTACTTTATTTTTTATATTAAAAAAGTCTGCCTAGCGACATGCTTTGTCGGTATTATTCATGATCAGGGCTGTGCGCCAAAATTTTCGCGTGGCGCGCCAAACGCCAATTTTTCAAATTTTAAAAACACGCCAAACGCCAAACGCCAAAAATCGGCCAAAATCAACGCCAAAACGCCAAACGCCAAACGCCAAAATTTTTAGAGTCTATAAAGACTTAAAAATCACTGTTAATCTCATTTTAGCGCCGCAGGCGAATTTTTTTAATTTTCAAGATTCCCAGAAGCCAGAATTCATCCTTTTTTTACCGCCGGAGTGAAATTTTTGAGAATTTTGGAGGCAAAAAAGCCGAAATTTATCCTTTAAAAAATTTTAAAAAATAAGAAATTCATAGAACTCCTTGAGATTAAGGTGGATATGAAGGGATAAAGGGAGTAATGAGTATAACAGAGGTAATGAAGAGAGTAAACGATTGACGTGACTAGTTTTTTTTACCATCTATTAGGTAGTTTAAGATAAGGGCTTCCTCCTTTAAGCGCCGCAGGCGAAAATTTTGAAAATTTTGTAAGTCCAAGTAGTAGATTTCTTCATTTTTATGCGCCGCAGGCGAAAATTTTGAGAATTTTGGATGACTGTATGCAGAAAAATTTCCTTTTTCGATAATCCCTTTCTCCATTTATTTAAAAAAAATTCCATCATTAGGGGTGTATATTTTTGGCGTTTGGCGCGCCAAAATCGGAAAATCACGCCAAACGCAAAACGCCAAAAATCGGCCAAAATTAACGCCAAAACGCAAAACGCCAAACGCCAAACGCCATGACGCACAGCCCTGTTCATGATATTTCTAAGGCCGTTAACTAATTTGTTACTATCGAAAAATTCATTTTAAGTAGATGGAATAGAAAAACATCCTAGAAAAACATCTTTTTGGGTAAGGTATTTCTGAGGTGTCATTGGATCACTAGCCGTTATAGTGATCGTTGTTATACTAAAATTCTAATTTTAACTTTATTCATAAACTAAGCTAATCAAAAACATGTTCTACTTAACCTCTGATTTTTTATTTTTGTTGAGTTTAATTATCTTCATATTTTAAAAACTTACCTAGATATCCGTTTGACTGACTAAGACCAAAATTTTTGTAAATATCTTGCAACTGTTCCTGCTCAGTTTTAGCACTTTCATTTTTGCCAATATTATTTGGAATATTAGATTCCATTTCCTCATCCGATTCTATCAAAATATATTTATCTTTCCCTTTGTTTTGAGCATCTAGTCCTTGATAACCATGCCCATATGGACTCTGTACAATGTACGGTTCTTGCTTATTTTCGTAAATTTGTAGTGGAGTATAATCCATAACAACATTTTTAACTTTTTCTTTGGCTAAATTTAGGAATATTTTGAGTATATATTTGAATTTTTTTCGGTAGCCCTAGTTACTATATATACTAATTGATCCTGGAAACTCTAATCAAGTCCTAATTAAAAAATTAGATTCTAATTTGTAAGTTCATCAGGGATCGTGACTACATAAAAAATAATTTCCTGATTTCCGTGATTCGGGATGGCAAAATCCCTGATATGCCTTGAAATATCTCTGACGAACAAGGAATTTTTCCAAAGTCCACTTATTTAGTTACAGTCTGAATTAATTACCAAATCAGGTACGAATATTAGAAAATTTAGCTCTAAGTATTTAAAAAATAACAAGAAAATATGCTTAAATTTACTGAGGAAAAAAATTCCATTACTACCAAGAATACAAAAAATTACCACCAAAGTTATCTGGTTCATCAAATAATTCCTTAATTTTTTCTTCAGCATTTTTTTCATTTTCATTTAATTTATTGACAAAATTGCCTTTTGTCTCATCTATTATTTCTGATTTATTTTTATTATCTAATTTACAAGTTGCTTTACTTTTTTTACCTATGACAATCAAATATTTATTTAAATAATTATTTTCATAGATAGCCTGCTCACAATCCATTTTATAATTACCACTCTAAATTTTTATTTATTTATTAGAACATCTTGGAAATGACATAAATTGTATAAACTAATGATAGGGTAAACCCGGTACTTATTTAGCTCCCCCCCCCCAGTCAGTTTTTTCGAAAATTATGTAAAAATGGTCAGTCTGAACAACAATTGTAGAACCCATCGAGCTGTGTCGAATGACACCAAAATCAACAAAATCCGACTTGATTTGACCGAAATACAGACTCCTAAACCACAGGGGCACAAAATGATAAAGACCAAAATCTATACAAATGATAGATCATTTGAAAGAGCTCGTCGAGCTGAGTTGAATGAGACCAAAATCAACGAAATCCGACTTGATTTGAGAAAGTTATGACATAAGTCGGCGACTCCGGTAGGTCTAAATAATGTCATAACTTTGTCAAATCTTGTCCGATTTCGTTGATTTTGGTGTCATTCGACTCAGCTCGACGAGCTCTTTCGAATGAGCTATTAAACTTTTTTTATTTCGAAAAATCACCCCCATGGTTGTTCAATTTTCAGGGGTGTGTATTTCGGTCAAATCAAGTCGGATTTTGTTGATTTTGGTGTCATTCGACATAGCTCGATGGGTTCTACAATTGTTGTTCAAACTGACCATTTTTACATATTTTCCGAAAAAACTGGCTCGGGGGGGGGGATCTAAATAAGTACCGGTAAACCCTTGATAATCAATCTTTACCTTTTATAAAGTGCCCATCTGCTAATATAATTTTAAACAGTTTCTGCACCCTTTTTAAGGAACGGTCCCAGACCCAGTGGGCGTAGGTCCCGAACATGAAGAAATGTTTTGGAACTATACCCTTACTTTGCAATACCAAGAAAAATGCAATTATTTTTTTATTGGACTCATAAAATTCGAATGGACTTATAAAGTCAAGTAGAACATAATTATTTCTGCTTAGGGTTTTTTTCATTTTCGGTCGGATACTGATCCCGGATTTTCCCTCTTTTTCTGTGTAGATTTATTGCAAATATCTTTTTTAATATACTTTAGTATGTTTTTCATCTGATTCAAATATAAGAACGTATTTATCATTTGCACACAATTTTGTTTTAACAATTTGTGAGTTAAAAGAATTTTTACGACAAGTTTGTCGATCTCCAGGTATAACATCAATAATAGCAATATTATCGTTACCGCTTTCATTCTCACATTTTATAAATGCCTTTCTTTGTCTATAACCTTCAGTTTTAAAAGTAAATTGCAGAAAACGAACAGGTTGTTTGATTAAAGTAATCATTGTATTGAAATTTGGTTCATATTTTTGTAGGACTTGTTTGTAGTTTATTTTGTTCATGCTATGGTATTTAATGAAGATTAAAGAATTGTTTTCAACATTAGCAATAGAGGCAATTTCATAATTCTTTAAAAAAGCAAAAAATTATTTGCGGAAAATAGGATATCAAAAACTAAGTGACGAACTGATTGTCGTCGAATCATTTTTTTTGGAAAATGTCTAAACTAAAGTATTTTGTTACGTCCCCGCTTACGTCGACGAACACAACAGAAAGTTTATCACACGTAGAAAATACAAGAAGATGAAGATTGGGGTAGGAAGACGGAATAAGACTGAGAGAGCTAACTAACTGTGGCTGGCTTTTATACTAAACTCTTTAAGGGCTGTCGTCCATACACAACATATTTTATCATTTGATTAATGTAACCCAAACTAGACTGGACTTTAGATTTGTTGTGTTTTTTGTTCCAGTCTAGACTAGTTCCTGATCTCCTTCATCTGTTCCAATCTCAATCCACCTTCTTCTAAATTGTACATACATTTCTACTTTGGATAAACTCTAATTTTGTGCTCGACGACATTGGTAAATCTCGGACAACCCTCGGACATAACGAGATTGATATCTTAAAAATCTGGATTTTCGATTGAGATTTAATCATACATTTATTTAATAAATAAATCTAACAAACATTCTCATTGTAAATTTTCAGGTTGTATTTCTCCAAATCTTCACTATAATTTCCTTCATTTTCTTCAAAATGAAAGGTACCATATTTATCTTTTACTCCTATTTTGGGCTCTTCCCATTTATCGCTAATCAATTTCAAGTTGAATTTATGGGTATTTTTTTCAACCAAATTTAGTACTTCGTAAAGACCTTCTCTCGATGAAATCTTCACAAACACTGACAATGTTGTTACGTTGTAAAAGGTGTTTAGGAATGCAAATGTTAAAAATATAAGCATTCTATAAAATAAAATGTTTAATATACATACACTCCTTTAAGGTTGACGGTTCATGGGAAATCTCCGGGTATCCAGAACCTCAACCGACGAGTGTATTAAATTTACCTCAGAATAAAAATAATAAATAAAAAAACTTAAAAGAGGGTTGAATAAAGAAAAAATAGAAAGAATAAGGCAAAATTCACTAAATATTTCATAAATGTCGACTCTCAAAAAAAGCCATGAAAATATAAAGAAATGAAAATGAAGAGAGAAATGAAGAGAGGAAAATAAAGAAAAATTTAAAAAATCGAATTTTACGTAAAGCAAACGTGTCTTTCTGTGGGCAGGGGACGATTCAGTATCGGCCGATTCAGTCTTCGCTACACGATGAATGCCGGAATTTTCGTCTCCAACATTTTCGGAATTTTCGTCTCCAGCGGAATATTCGTCACCAAGGAAATAATCGGAATTTTCGTCTTCGCAATTTTCGTCTCGAGAGGAAGTTTTACCAGTTGTCAGGACAACTTCCCCCGTTGACGAAGCAACTTCCCCCGTTGACGAAGCAACTTCCCCCGTTGACGAAGCAACTTCCCCCGTTGACGGAACACTATCCCCCGTGTCGGAACAACTTCCCCCGTTGTCAGGACAACTTCCCCCGTTGACGGAGCAACTTCCCCCGTTGACGAAACAACTTTCCCCGTTGTCAGTACAACTTCCCCCGTTGACGAAGCAACTTCCCCCGTTGACGGAACACTATCCCCCGTGTCGGAACAACTTCCCCCGTTGTCAGGACAACTTCCCCCGTTGACGAAACAACTTCCCCCGTTGACGAAACAACTTCCCCCGTTGACAGGACAACTTCTCCCGTGGATGGAACAACTTCCCCGTTGACGGATCACTATCCCCCGTGTCGGAACAAAAATATGGAACGATTATTGGGAGTACCGGAATTTTCGTCTCTTACCAGTTGACGAAACTTCCCCGTCAACGGGGGAAGTTGTCCTGTCAACGGGGGAAGTTGCTCCGTCAACTGGTAAGTTTTCCTCTGGAGACGAAAATTCCTAGCGGAGACGAAAATTGCGGAGACGAAAATTCCGATTATTTCCTTGGTGACGAATATTCCGCTGGAGACGAAAATTCCGAAAATGTTGGAGACGAAAGTTCCGAAAAGTCTTGGAGACGAAATTTCCAGAGACGAAAATTCCGTACACCCTACACGATGGCCATGCTTCGCTGCGGTCGTGCTCGCTTCGCTCGTGGCGACCGTAGCTCGACATGCCCAGCTTCCTCCGCAGCGGCAAAAACTTTTTTCCGCGGAGACCTTATGTCAGGGGTTAAAACAAACGGTAATAACTTTGTCAAACCAAGTCGGATTTCGTTGAGTTTAGTGTTTTTTGACTCAGCTCGACGAGTCAAACCTCTCCCCCCACCCCCAATGAATTTTTATCGATTTCTACATTGCCTGCGTTACAGCCTCTTGACAGCTCTCACTCTACCCTCCCCTCCCATTAAAATTTTTTAAAGGCATTTTCAATATAGCAAGTGCGACACTAAACTCCCTCCTTCGTCCCCCTCTCACTCTTTCTCCCCCCCTCCTCACCTCTCATTCTTCCCCCCCCCCCTTCCCCCCCCCCCCCCCCCAATAAATTTTTATCGATTTCTACATTGCCTGCGTTACAGCCTCTTGACAGCTCTAACTCTTCCCTCCCCTCCCATTAAAATTTTTTAAAGGCATTTTCAATATAGCAAGTGCGACACTAAACTCCCTCCTTCGTCCCCCTCTCACTCTTTCTCCCCCCTCCTCACCTCTCATTCTTCCCCCCCCCTTCCCCCAAAATAAATTTTTATCGATTTCTACATTGCCTGCGTTACAGCCTCTTGACAGCTCTCACTCTTCCCTCCCCTCCCATTAAAATTTTTTAAAGGCATTTTCAATATAGCGAGTGCGACACTAAACACTCTCCTTCGTCCCCCTCTCACTCTTTCTCCCCCCCTCCTCACCTCTCATTCTTCCCCCCCCCCTTCCCCCAATAAATTTTTATCGATTTCTACATTGCCTGCGTTACAGCCTCTTGAAAGCTCTAACTCTTCCCTCCCCTCCCATTAAAATTTTTTAAAGGCATTTTCAATATAGCGAGTGCGACACTAAACTCCCTCCTTCGTCACCCTCTCACTCTTTCTCCCCCCTCCTCACCACTCATTCTCCCCCCCCCCTCCCCTCAATAAATTTTTATTGATTTCTACATTGCCTCCATTACAGTCTCTTGACAGCTCTCACTCTTCCCTCCCCTCCCAATAAAATTTTTTAAAGGCATTTTCAATATAGCGAGTGCGACACTAAACTCCCTTCTTCGTCCCCCTCTCACTCTTTCACCCCTCCTCACCTCTCATTCTCCCCCCCCCCCTCCCCCCAATAAATTTTTATCGATTTCTACATTGCCTGCGTTACAGTCTCTTGACAGCTCTCACTCTTCCCTCCCCTCCCATTAAAATTTTTTAAAGGCATTTTCAATATAGCGAGTGCGACACTAAACTCCCTCCTTCGTCCCCCTCTCACTTCCCCCCCCCCCCTCTCACCTCTCACTCCCCCCCCTCCCCCAATAAATTTTTATTTATTTCTACATTGCGTGCGTTACAGCCTCTCGACAGCCCTCACTCTACTACCCTCCCCTCACAATAAAAATTTTCCGCCCTATAATGTAGTACATATTTTTAAATTCTTACCATAAGTGAAGCATTGCTCCCCCACCCCTATAAATTTAATTGTTTTTTATGAAATGTAGTTTTTTGCTTTTTTGTTTGTCAGTTTTAGAAAAATTTTTGTAAAAATATTACTTGAAAAATCAGATTTTTAAGTCACATTCTAAACTTAATAAATTTATTCTAGTTCAATGATTATTTCTTTGAACTTTCCATTACTGCTATTTGACTTCATATTATTTGGATGTTTATTTGTGGTCATAACATCAATGTATCCACCTAGACAACATCGTAATTTTATATATTCGAAATTTTATTAAATATAATTAGCTAGGATTCTATATGATTTAAAAAACCCAAACTAAAATCCTACTTTTTCGACTCAATCAATTATACAGAAGAAAGAATTTTTTTCGCTCAAGGGTTGATCGGAAATTAATATGACAGAAATCGGACTATATATTTACGAATCCTTCGTAAATAATTAATTTTATAAATTTAAATGGACAGACTTTTTAGTCGGAACAATAGTTCAGAAATAATCGCATGTCAGAAATATTATCATAATTTTGGAAATCAGAAGTAAAGCCGGAATTCCTTAATACCTTTGTTGTCGCTTAAGAAGCTTTTGAATTGGGGTGGTTTATCTAGTATTTATATATCCTATAGAGAGAAATTTTGTGAAATTTTCTTTACTTGTTTATTTATTCGTGAAAATAAAACTTTAAATATTCTAGATGGAATTCATGAAATAGAGCAAAAGGATCATTCGCGTAAAGATGGGCGTTTCAACAAAGATTTAAATTTGGAAAAGCTAGCCGAAAATCTGTTTGAAAATAAAAATTCAAATTTATTGCGCGAACGTTTAAACAACTTGAAAAAATTTGGTAATGAAATTGCGTTTCAGCAGCTATTTAATATACAAGTAAAATACGCGAAACAATTTGATAGTATGATAAACGAAATGGTATGTATAATTAGAATCCAGTACTTGCCGGTTTAAGTCTATGGCTCATAAGTAGAGCTGTCCGAGACCGAAATTTTTCCAATACTCAAGACCCAAGACAAAATTTTTTCCAAGACCAAGACTCGAGACCAAGACCAAAACTCCAAGACTCAAGACCAAAAATAATACAAAACTCGAGACAATTTTTAGGTCCCATAGGTCAAATTTTTGGTTTATTTTTTGTTATTTTGACACGGTCACAGTCAACTTCAGCACAATCTCCTATAATTTCTAAAATCTACGCGAAATTCAAAGAATTTTGGAGAATTTATCCAGGTGGAAAATCAATGAGATATATTATTTCAGAGGATTTGGGTGGATTAAAGGGATATTAGTGATATCAAAGGGTAGAGCCCTCTCCAAAATCGACCCCCTGGCTACGCCCTTGGATTAAGGAGGATATTGAGTTAAAGGGGAATTTAAGTGGATTAATTGGGATCTAAAGGAATATTATGAAGTTGGGGGACCTGGGTGATTGAGATTGTTGCTGCTGATATCCATCCTCTATTTTCTTCCTTTTCCAGCGCCGCAGGCGAAAATTTTGAGAATTATAAAGGCCAAGAAGCCAAAAATCTTCTTTTTTCTGCGCCGCAGGCGAAAATTTTGAGAATTTTGGAAGGGCAATAGGCCAGATTTCTTCCATTCCATTATAAATGGCCCATTGGACGAAAGGTCCAAAGTTTTCGTGAGAGACATTTCGTCAATTAGAAATTTTTGTCCAAAAAGGCCAAAAAACCAAGACCAAAAAATAAAACCAAGACAAGACCAAGACAAACACCCCAAGACCAAGACCGAAAAAAAAAACCAAGAAAAGTCTTGCTTCCAAGACCAAGAGTCTCGGACAGCTCTACTCATAAGGTTTTTAAATGTTTTGAGTAAATGAAATCTGTTAAACATTATTAATATGCTAAAAACATATATATTAATAATTTGATGGAACTTAACCAGAAAAGTTCCAAAATTTAATTTTTGTTATGGACCTAAATTGTTAGTCAAATGCAAATTAGAGACATCCAAATCTATAGGATGAATGTAATCGTCGTTTCAAGTTTTTAAAATTTATTTGGCATTTATTTTCTAAGAATTATTTCTAAAAATTAGAAGAAATAAATCTACAAATTGATATATAAAAATTTTTTTCTAAATTTTTTCATAAACAAATTTTTAAGAAAAAACATGAAGGATTAAAAGAAGTTGCAGAATTTTTACAATTACTACAATTTTGCGCTACAATTAATCATGTTTATAAAAATAATGAGACTGCAAGAAAGAAGTATATAGAATTTTGCAAGGATAATGTAATGAAAAATGCTAACAAAATTTTGAAAGATTTTAAAATTAAAATTAAATCGGCAGTAAAAGCAAAATTTAAAAAGAACAAGAAAAATGAATTAAAATGGAGTAAAAATGATAGGAAGAAAGAGAAGAAAAATGATGACGATTATTATTTTTATGTTGATACTGGTCATGAAACTAGTGATGATGAAAGTGATAAAGGGGAATCTTCTTATAAAGGAGAACCGTCTCATGGAGGATATTATGAGGGAGAATCTTATCACAACTCAAATTATGAAGGAGAATCTGATAATGAAGATTTTATTCCTTCAATTTTTAACGAGGCTTTTTCTTCAGCTACATCTTTGTCTTCTGACTTACAACAACTATTTTCTGCTTTTCATAACAGTATTGAAGGACCTACCACTTTTGAAATAGCCCCATCTATTCAACAAATGGATTGTACAGGATGTTTTGGGGGCAATGGAAGCAACTCTCCTAAATTGGCTCAAGAAGTAAATTCTAAATGTTGTGAAGGTTCTTCATGTTTTGGCTGTTGTGGTAGTGATAGCAATAAATCTATGGCTCAAAATGATGAATGTAAATGTGGTGATTGCTCTTCATGTATTGGGAGCTGTGACAACATCGACTGCGGCAAAATTATTGGCGATATGTGTAGTGGTGCTGGAAATGCATTATATTACTTGTGTTGTTGTTGTGTATTCGAAGCTGTACTTGAAGGTGGTTGTAGTGGTTGCGATGATTGATTATGTGAAGATTGAAAAAAGAAGAGATTGAAAAGAAAACATGTATATATAAGTGATTGATCAAATCCATGGTAATTATGTAGTATCTTCCCGCATGTCCGCAAATGTTTGTCTGCAACTTTTTTTCTTTTCCCTTCTCCTACCTTCTCTCACAGTGATTAAAAACGGTCAAAGCCTTAATAATTTTTTAAATTTTGTTTTAATCTGCTTGTAATCTTCCAAAAACCGGAGAAGGAATCATTAAACACATCAACGTGTTTGGATATGTTTTGATAGGGTTATGACATATAAGTAAACCTAGAAAGGTCGTTTTCGTACCAAATAACCCATTTTTGTTGGTAGAATATTCTTTGTAAAAAATTGATGGCCCTTCTCCGGTTTTTGGAAGATTAAAAATATTCATTGATCTACAAACAAATTTAATTCGAAAATGATGCTTTCCTTATTTGCCTTCCTTATAAAAATCAAATTATTTATTGACAATTATTAATCCTTTGACCCTTTTTAATCTCTGATTTGTGAGAGAATGTAGAAGAAGAAAAAGAAAAAAGTAGCGGACAAACATTTGCGGACATGCGGGGGAGATATGTACTACATACTAAGTACCAAATTCATTGTACATAAGTACCGAATCCATTTATTCAACGGGCTGTACTTTAGTACATGGGTGCCGAGTTTAATATACAAATGTTATACCATTTGAAAGAGCTAGTCGAGCTGAGTTGAATGCCACCAAAATTAGCCAGAGGAAAAAACTTTGAAGCAAGTTACAGATTTTTAAAAATCGAAAAACCATAGGAGGGAGTAAGCTCAATCTTGGGGTAAAAAATTCGATTATACAAATGATATCTAATTCGAAAGAGCTCGTCGAGCTGACATGAGTAAATGAAATCTGACTTGATTTGACAAAGTTATGACCGTTTGTTTTATGCGAAGCACGGCCATCGTGTTTTCAATCAAGCTGATTTTGGTGTCATTTGACTCAGATCGAATAGATCTTTCAAATGGTATAACATTTGTATATTAAACTCGGTACCCACGTACAAAAGTGACCCCATTCAACGAAAAAATTGTAGCATTATTTAAACGTAAAGATAAACTTTTCTTAGTATTTTCAACAGAATTTTTAAAAAATTTTCGGTGCAGATGTTGGCGCACTTACCATGTACGTATATTAAAACACACTACCTATTTTAATTTGTTTGGATAAATTAAGATTTTTAATTAAAAAACACTCTTCCACAAATTCGTCTTCAAAAATTACATAAAAATTTATTATATAATTTAACAAAATTTTAAAAAAATACAAAAAAATAAGAAAATAATACAAACAAAAAATATTAAGAAAATTATTAATTAAAAATTAATTAAAGGAAATGAATGAAAAATTTATAAATAGTATAAACTCTAATAAATTTGGAGTAAATTATTATTATAAAAATAAAAAATATTTTTAAAAAAAGTTCAAATTTAGTGAACATTTTTCTAAATAAAAATTGATATTTTTACAGTCGGTCCTCACTATATGCCCTTATGGCAAAATGGTTTTATTTATTATCGTAAAATTGTGAAAATCGTTTTGGTGTCATTTTAGGCCAATTTTTATTATAATGTTAGTACTTGAGTTTTAGGAATTTGAAAAATCATAAATTTTTAGTGCAAACGTGAAATTACATTCGTAACCAAAGAAAAACTAAAGGGGGGTTAAAAACAAGTGAGGTCCGACTGTAATTGAGATTTTGAAGAATATTTTTCTCAGAATCCGGAATACCTCAAAAAAAGCTACTACAAAACAATGAGAACCAGAGACCAGAAACCTTTCGGTCTTTAATAAATTGATTTCATCTCGTGTCTATTAAAGAGGAATAATCTTATAATTTAATTAAAAATTATTATTAAACGAATCAAATAATTTGTATTTAATAAAAAGCCATAGAGAAGTGGTTGGAAACCCGCAAGAGAGAGGATATATTGAGGGAATAGTAAATATATTAAATAAATATTGGTGATATTTAAAGTCTAGATTAGTGCCCAAAATAGAAGGTAAAAATTAAAAACTCTGAGAATTCTTTAAAAATTGTCGCCTATATTGAAGGTCAACACTAATGAACTTGGGCACTTTAAAGTGTTTTTCATTCGTTAGGTCATTAATCTAGACATGAGTAGAATTTCTAGACAAAGACCTCTCTAAACAATTTTGATTAGAATCAATTCCAATAATTAAAGGAGCATCTTCGTGTTTTGGAGGACTTCCAACTTCTCTGAGTGTTTCTAGAGGAGAGGAAAAATAAGAATAATGTTGTGGTTGTTGTTGTGAAGGGGGAGATTTTAATTGTATTCGTGGAAGACCACTTCCATTAATGATATATCCATTATTACCTCCATTTTGAATTAATCCATTGGGTTGTTGATAATCAAAAGAGCTTACTAAAAATAATATTTTTTTTAAAAATGTCAGAAATGGAGAAATTCCTCGTTGGGAAACTGAGAAATATAAAAACTGAGAAACCGAATAATTCTCTAAATTAGGGCAACTCCCCGAGCCTTCGAGGTCTGGATCGTCGGAGATCTGAGTTTGCCGGTGTAGAGCATTCGGGGGTCGGGTCGGGGTTTTTGCCAAAAAATCGTCGGGGTACGGGGGGCTGGGAGCTACCCTACTCTAAATAATTAAATATAAAATTAAAAATAAAGTCTTATTAGATTTGTTAATTGTGAATTCTACCCATGAAGGGAAAGGGGCAACTTTCGGATTCATGACAAGGCATTGAGGATTTTTAAAAACTAAAAATTTCCCTAACATTGCATAGAAGGGCAATAAACACCACTACCACCACCACCAATATTGTTATTATTATTAAATGTAGAAGCACTACTTCTTCTACCATTATTATTTATTTGTTGTTGATCAAATATTGTAGAATTATTATCTTCACAAAAATATCCATTATTCCCATTTCCATAAATTTGTTGTTGTTGTTGTTCATATTCAAATAACATTTGTTGTTGATCTAACATTTCTGGGGGAAAATGAATATTTCCATTTGGAGGGGGATATTGTTCTGCTGTTAATCCACCAGCTTCGTTATTGTAAAAATATTGTTGAGGAAGGGGATAGGGAGGGGTTCCGCAACTCTCACTTGCTGTCATTCCATCAACAGGCTCGCATTTAACTGAAAAAATTTTGCCAAACTTTTTAAATTTTTCCAATTTCGTACCAGAAATAGAACCTCCATTAGGATAGCTGCTATTATTTGACATTTTTGAATGCCCAATTCGTCTATCACAACAACAACAACCTCTCCAAATAAGCCAAACAAGTAAAAGAAGAAATAAAACAGCAAAAATACAGAAAATTACAGATCCAAAAACTATGCGCAGTTGAAAAGGCATTTCTCTCCATTGAATTTCTTTAAATTGAAAAAATTAAGCTGAGATTTTAATAAATCTGAGAGATATTTGCATTAATTTAAAAAATTTTTAAAAGAGCAGGACAAAAAAACGGGAGTAAGATGAATCTGTAGTATGAATATATAGTATGTATAGTAGGGTTGGAGGGATAATAAGTTCGAGTTGGGCATCAAATTTTGACCTGAAAAAGACTCGCTCGATCGGCCCGATAAAAACCAAGCCCGAAAAAGACACAGTCGGGCTAGCCCGAAAAAAAAGTACTCGAACTTTGGCCTCCCTTTAAAACTCCTAATTAAAACAATAAGACAACAGGGATTCACCGTTTCCATTTTGTTTGGTTTAAAGGTAAAAATTATTTTTCGTATAAAACACCAAAATAACAAAAAATTATGAGAATAATTATCGTGTTTTTTAAATATAAACCCCCGCAGTTCTACCAAAATCGTTTTTCTTTGCGATATAATAAAATATATTTTCAAAACCTACCAATTTTATCAAAAATTCCAAGTAATCTAACATCTTTCTGTTCCCAAACAACCCCATAATCATTACGTGCTGAACAATTCCACAACCCCAAATCTTGTTCAACAAAATCAAAAATTGTCATTTTCGATAGCAATAAATGTTTGCCCAATTTATCATCGTTAACTTGGAAACGATTTTTGTTTTTGTTGTTATTCCCATCTCCATTACCCGTTCTAATACGTTCTGCAACATCCATTCTACGGCCGTTATGAAACCATTGGATATTAACTGGCAATACTCTTGACTGTACCTGGATAAGGAGTTATTTGTTTTTTTATTAATTGGTATATTTTGAATTTGAGAGATAATCAATGGAAAAGACAGGATACGATAAGATTTTCGTGTTGCACTAAAACACGAAACTAGAAGATTTTTCGATAAAAAGCTAAGTGATTCTTTAAATGAATTTAAAATTAAAATCAAGTCTAACTAGGAAGACGGGGGCTTCTATGCCACCCCCCCCCCCACTCTCCTATGAGGGGGCATAGACAGGGAATTCTCAAAAAATATTTTCATCTTATACAGGGTGACTCAAAAGTCTTTGCCCGCACATTTTTCATCATAACTTTATTAAAACTTAATCAAATAATATAAAAATACAATCAAATAATAGAGAATTAAATGGAGAACAAAATGTATCATGATTTTTTGAAATACCTCTCTTTGGGTTTAAGATAGAGGCGCAGACGCAAGCAAAAATTTTTGCAAAATTGCCGCACCTCCTCGGTTCCTCTTTTCAGATGGCAAAATTTTTATGAAAGAGACATGTGCGAATCGCAAAAATGACTGATATTGGGCCTCAAAATCTCCTCTTTCTTATCCAGTTGTTAAGGATTTCCAAAACCCTTCCCTCGAAATGATATGGACTGTTATTTGCAAAACGATCAAAATTCCTTGATTTTTATGAATCCTTGGGTCAAAATAAATAAATACTTTGATCTACTCGAAATCCTTCAGTATGTTTTAGAGCACTGGGTCTGGGAAAACTTTTGGTATAGGGACTAGATCTATAAGTAGAATTCATCCCCTGATTATAAGGCTAAAGTGATGCAAGGTTGTCTTGTTGCCAATTTTCTCGGTTTTAGTGTGCCTCAAAAATGGCTACCGTACACACCGGGTTTAAATCCGTAAATTTATCTTTTTGGTCATTTTTGGAGGCAACGTTCTTTGCTTAATAACCCCAAAGTTTGGAGTCACTCCGACTATCACTCGTTCAGAAATTGGAAAAAATTACACCATAATAGGTGCGGCAATTTTGCAAAAATTTTTGCTTGCGTCTGCGCCTCTATCTTAAACCCAAAGAGAGGTATTTCGAAAAATCATATACATTTTGTTCTCCATTTAATTCTCTATCATTTGATTGTATTTTTATATTATTTGATTAAGTTTTAATAAAGTTATGATGAAAAATGTGCGGACAAAGACTTTTGAGTCACCCTGTATTTTCCATAAAAACATAAAAAGAAAAATTGTTAAATTGCCCAATTATCCCAATCTAACAAATAAAAGTTTTAAGAAAAATACAATATTTACCTCACAAATTAAAGTAATATCCTTTTCATTTTCAGAAAGTATATACTCGATAAATCTGACTTTTGGAGGTCCTTTTAAATATAATTGATGATACAATGTTTTTGAAGGAAAGCCTTCCACCTCGGCAATACACTTAAAGTTAGAAAATTTTTTATTTTTATTATATACTCCAAAAAGCTACCCTATATTCTCCTTCCTCCCAATCCTGCGCATTTTTGATAGTTAAACTAAAGAAAAAAATTTTAATTATTAAAATGTTTCTAATTTTTCAAACTTTGCTCCTTCGTGAATTGGTGTCTCTTGTTCCCTTCCATGATACCAACGAATAATAGGCGTTGGATTGCCGAGGACCTAGAAATACATATACCGTATAACCTGCATTAATTGCCCGCCCTTAAATAATTACCCCACTTCCATTAATTACCCCATCCAGCGATGGATTTAAATACATAATTACCCCTCATCAAATGTCCTAAAACACGTTCACATTTCAAATTTCGTATAATTACCCTCCTCCTCTCGATTAATTAATCCCCCAAGCGAAAGGTCGAAACAATAATTACCCAGGGTAGTTAATAAAAGTTGTACTGTACTATAATTTTAAACTATCTACAAGTTTTAAAAATATCTTCAAGTGAATCACTCTAATATACAATCCCGAGAAAGGTGACATATAAATGATAATCAAATCAAAAAAGGTTTCGCCTGTATATATAATTTATTAAAATTACCTCGCATTGAAAAGTTGTTTCAGAACCTCTATCAATTATTTTAGTTTGATTTGTAGACATAAAACGAGGTCCAACTTTAAATTTAAAAAAGTTTCTGAAGAATCAAAAAAATTAACATACAGGGAACATTCAATTCAAAAGCAGAACTTCCAAATCCAACAGAATTTTCTACTGTACAATTAACTTTTTTAAGATTATCATTAAATCGAAGGGAGAAAATTGAGATACGCTAAAAATATTATTTTTAATTTAAGTTTTTTTTTATTTTTTAACAAACATGATTTGATAATATTTCCAATCTTTTGGGTTCTCCATCCCAATTCCAAGAATATTTTAAATCTTCGTTTGGCCTGGAATCGCTTCTGCAAAGTAGACGAATTGAGCCAGACTCTCTGATCTTAATAATATGTAAATTATTCACAATATTTTTAGGTTTTGTTAAAAGTTGTTTTATTAGGGGTTTTGGATTATAGAAAACTCAAAAAATATTTTTTTAATTGTAGACCTCTTAGGAAACAAAAATTTCTTCAGTAAAAAATTTTGCCAGTTCCTGAATTAAAATAAAATTTAAACTATTCCAAAAGGTAATAGAAATTGTGAGTCAAAAATTATAATAAATTGGTTCTGATTTTAGTTAACAGGAATAAAAATAATCAGAAATTAAATAAGCGACCTTTCCATTATCTTCCGGTTCAACTTCAATAATTACTTTTGGGGGATAAAATACATCCAAAGAAATACTGGCTGTTTTTGCTTCCTTTCCATAAGCTTCGTGTGTTGCCAAACAAACCAAAAAATGTCCATTATCATCCCGAGAAGGCGAATAACTTTAAAGAATATTTTTTAATTATTTTAAATATTTAATTTAGAAAATACTTTAAATTGCTTATAACAGTATAAAGTTGACTGTCTCCATCTAAGTCTCTAAATTCTGTAATATTAGCAAGTAGACGTCTTCCACGTGAATGACGTAAGGGATGTCCAGCAGAGGGGAAAGGCACTGGAAATTATTAAAAAATTAAGGGATCAGTGAGAGGTAAGGCTTTTCTGCAAAAATGTTGGTAAATATCAGGGTAATGCTTAGTTTAGCTTTGAATTTCTTGGGTCAAGCAAGAAACTGGAAACAATATACCCATACTAGTTCCTAACCAACGCTGGGTATTGGGAGTTTTATAAGTCAGGCTCCGACCTCTTTAAATCTTGGCTTCGACCCTGGCCGAAGCTAGCTCATGGAGCAACTACTAAATGAAAAAAGCATGAGAGTTTAAGGAAAAATAAAAAAGCCGTGATAAAATATTTGCAATATTTTTTTAAAATGAATTTAAAACGATTAATTTGATTATGTTTTGTGTAATCCAAAAAATTTCCAAAAATTTCAGAAAATCTTTTCTCACCTCTATTTGTTTGATATCTAAAAACTGTTGTTGTTTCCGTTTCATTATTTGATGGTATAATATGCGCAATAATTCTTTTTCCTAACCAATCTTCAGCCAAAACCCAACTAATTTGTGCTGCTGGCCTTCCAGCCCTACTTTGACAACTAACTTGGAGTGAATGACCCTCTGTGGCAGCTATTTGATTAAATTGCCCAATTAATTGTTGATTTTTACTTGATGAAGTTAATCCACCTTCGATGGATTCTCCAACGAGTATAGGGTCTTTGGGTTGAACTGAGGGAGAAAATTTACTTTTATTTTTTATTTTAAAATCTAATAATTACCAATAATTGTTAATTTAACTCTTTTAGAAAGTTTAGGAGTTGGTTCATCATCTGTTGGAGTAAGTTGACACTGGAAATGTTTAAAAAAATTTCTAGTATAATAGTTAAAGTTAAGTTAGTAGTTTCAAGTTAAAACAGATTTTCTTTAAAAATTTCGAGTTTAAGAAGGGAATATAGGAAGTTCAGTATGAGGATCTTTCAAGGATTTTCGCAAATAATTTCTTTGAAAACACAAGATTAACATCTAAATTCTCATAACAAATAACTTTTTCATAATAAATTTTTCTCAGTTGTCATATTTTTTAGAAATTAATTTAAATCTCAAAATTTACTCTATAATTGTCATCATCAGCAAGAGACACATTCTTTATCTGAAGGTGATATTCTCCATCGTCAATATTTCCAATCATTGACATACGCTCTGTTAATTTTTATTTTTTAATATAAATTTCAATAAAATTACCGAAAAAAGGCATATCACGTTTATGGCCTAGACCTACTTCTCCTTTCATCCAGTAAACATGTCCTTTCTAAATTTTAAATTAAAATAACTTTTTGTTTTATATTCAAGTTAATCGAGAGGAGGAATAGGTATGGGATAAGGCACTCGTTAAAAAGGATCGCTCGATCGCTCGATTAAGAGCCCAAATGAGCTAGAATAAGCTGACTCTTGGCCAATGATAGAATTATTTTTAAAAAATGATAGAAATAAAAATAAAAAAATAAACACGTGATAGAATTATTTCACTCAAAATCTTCCTTAAAATGGATAAAATCTGATTAGAACGAGATCTCGATACCAGAAACATTATTCTTGAGAAAAAAGCTCGGGTAGGGTTTCGAGTCAGCTTTTTAGAATTTCTCCTTGATCAAATTTCAGTGTCAAAAAAGTCCTTGTTTCAGGAATTCGTGACATTTCTGTTCGGTAGTTGGAACATTCCAATTTAGCTTTTTGTTTAAAAATTAATTTTTATATAAAATACTGTACATGCCAGATACACAAAAACAAAACTACCAATCTCTCTACCAATCTCTCTCCCTCATTTTGACATATGAGGGAGAGAACCGTTCAAAATATTATTTGATTGATTTTGATGAATTAGAAAATTTGCACATTTTTGCGGTAATTATGTAATGTTTTTTTATTTTTCTCTAAAAAATGCCGTTGACAGAAAAGGCATTCACAAATTTATAGAGATTATATATAGATGATTTATGTGCCTTTCAATAAAAATAAATGCTTTTGAAAAACAAAAAATAAAAGAAAAAACTAATTAATCAAAAAAATTTTGACTTTAATGTGCCGAAAAAAATAAAAGTAAATAACTAAATTTTTTATGAAAAAATGAAAAAGGATTTGAAGAAAAATAGCAAAAATCTATAAAAATTTCGAGTAACTCTCAAAATCTGTTTAGACGGTTTTTTGAGTTATACGTTTTTAGCCCCGTTTTAAATTTAGATTAACCAGGTTTAGAACAAATCCAAGTAAAAATGAGAAAAAAAGATTTGGATGAATAAATAAAGGGTAAGTTTATCTCTAGTTGAATGCTCGGCCAAACTTTCTTCCAATCATCCTATCATTTCCATTCTGTTAGAGTTTACGATAAATTAAAAACAAATTTCTAAATAAAGAATTTTGGCTTTTAAAATTATTTAAATAAAGTTTTAAAAATTTTTTACATGAACAAATTTTCTAAAGTTAGGAGAGTCGATATCAGCGCGATAAGAATTGGGGGCGGGAAGGAATATTTATTGAAAGACAAATTCTCGATTAATTATTCGAAATTTAAAAGATTTTCTACCTGATTTTGAACCCTACATTTAAGTAAAACAGTCTCTCCGATTCTGGCTACAGTATCCTCAGGTTCTTCAACAATCCTCTGCTCGGCTTTAACAAAATGTAGGGCAAAATAAATAATTAAAAATAATCGGAAAATTGATGAAAAGTATTTAGGAATATTTTTTAAATAATTATTAATGTAGATCATTGTTGGAATTTTAAAAATCTGAAAATTATTTTTAATAAAATTTATAAAAAACCAAAAATGTGTTAGTATAGAAGAATGAATAAAATTATGTGAAAAATATGTAGGTAATTGATAACTATCTAAAAATAAATAAGTATAGAAAAAAAATTTTAAACTTTGGCCGTTGATCAGGGAATAATAAAAAAATTTTAAGTGTTGATCAGTATTGTAAACTAGACTCTGGATTTTTTAAACAGATTTGGATAAAATAGAAGATACCGATAAATTGTACTGATTTTTGGTTAATTAAATATAATTTTTCAAAATTCAGAATACATGAGGTTTTTCCATTTTATAACCGAGGGAGAGGGAGGTAGGGGAGGGAGTTGTTAAGAAAAAAAGGGTTGGAATATTACAAAAATCTGATAAATAATTTTTAATTATTATTAATCCAACTAAATAATACCTAAAATAAACTCAATGATCAACCTAAATAAAGAAATATGTATTTGCTGTTTGATTTTTTATTTTTTATTTATTTAATTCCTTCTTTTCCTAAAAATAAAACTTTTAATTTTCCCCCGCCTTTTTGCTAATTTTTCCATTCTTTTGCCGCTTTTTGCCGCCAAACTGTGTTCGTCCTTTTCTCCAACAGCTGTGACATTGCCGTGGAAAGTTTTGTTAAAGAATAAAAAGTTTAGCGCTTAGAAATGATTAAAATCTAGAAAGGCAAACATATGACTGTATAAAAATAAATTAATAGAGAAGGGGGAGAATTAATACTTGATTATTGAAATAAATAGAAAATTTTATAATTAAGATTTTAGAAAGGAAAAAGGAAAGACGGAAAAGTTTTAAATCTAGACATTAAATTTTGAAATTAAAAAATAAGATTTTAAAATTTAAAAAATATGCAAATAGGCATATTTATTCAAGACTAAGATTGGCGGATCCGAAAAAAGGCCGGATATACAGAAATTTCGGTTCTACCGGATCCGGATATCCCAAGATTTTAACTATCCGCCAACCTTTATTCAAAGAAAAGATTGTTGAGTCATTAAAATCAGATTATGATTGAAAGTAAATTTTAATATTTTGAATTTAGCAGTAACACTCGTAATAAAGCAAATTTGGATTATCACATAGATGCAAAATTTGGAGTTTTATTTAATAAAATCTCCAAATATCTTTTTCAATTTTTGTTTTTATATAAAAGAATTTTTGATTTTTTGAAAAATTTTTTTATTAAATTACTCGCTTGGTTAAGAAAAATTTTGTTTATAATTTTGGTGTCAAGTGGAATTTATTAAAAATAAATTCCAGATACATATTCAAGTAAAATTAAAAGAGAAAGAAAATAAAATCAAAAATTTCTTCCCTTTTCTAAAATAAAATTGGTTGGTCATTCCCTCCTCCTCCTCTCCCTCTCCTTAAAGATGCCCTCAAAATAGTGCGCAATTTGCAAAATTTAGAAAGGAAAAAAATTGAAAAGCGGATAGAACGCTCTAATTGAATTTATTTTTAAAGGAGAAGAGGAGAAAATGAAATTGGCTTTATAAATTATTAGAGTTAAAAATATTATTAAATAATTATTTGAGTATTAAATGAGAATTTATTTTTAGCAAAACTGTCAACAATTATCTATTTAAACATTTAAGTTCATCAATTTTAATTATTTTATTTTTCTGATTTTTTGCATTAAATATATTAAACTTAGGAAGATTAGTATATTGCTTTTTTAAATTGGAAAATTTTTGAAGAAAGATTTAATAAAAAAATTAAAATTGAAATCTTCTGGGAAAATAGATAAAGTTAGAAGTTAATTTAGATTTTCAACGAGAAGTCTCCAATGTTTAAATAAAACTAAAAAGATAAATCATAGTAAAGAAAAAGGCAATTTTTAATCACATTTAAGTAGTTATAGAACAGAAATTTAAAACAATTCTTTGGAGAAGTTAAACGTGTTTATGTATAAAAGGGTAAAAAGTCGGAATTTTTGGGTAATAGAGGAGCGTTAATTATTGTAATTATTTTTAGTCATTGAAATCCGAAAATTGATAAACAAAAATCTAAAATCAAGCCAAGGTCGAAAATCGAAATTAAGACATTTTTTCCAAAAAATATTTCTATTCAATTAAAAAAAAAAGATTTTTTAAAAACATTTTTATTTAAAAAATTTAAAACTTTGTAGCAAAAGCATTTAAGTAAATAAATATTTTTAAAAATAACCAAACAATGACCGTTGTACTTTATTAGAAAAAATGGAAATTGACACTTGTTAAGCAACAAAGAAACGCAAAAAATAAGAGAAGGGGGAAGGGGGTATTTTGTTGTTGCTTACCCCCCTCCATCCCTTACTCCCTTAACAACGTTTCCGTCCTCCCGAAAGGATTTTCTGTTTTGTTTTTCCCCTAAATGTTTGTCTACTCAGTTGGAGGGATGCCGCTAATGGAAGGAAGAAAGGGGGAAAATGAGGAAAAAATATAGGGAAGGAAGGGACCCTAAAAATGGCCAATTCTTTTATTGTGGAGGTGCGAGGAAAAATAATATGTTTTTAAATGTTTGGAGGAGGGAAGGATAGTATGAGACAATAAAAATTATATTAAAAATACAAAACAAACAAATAATCCTATTTAATTGAATGGAGATGCGCAAAACAATGGAATAAAGCTTAAAAAAGTTGATATTGAGAATGAGGATTTGTTGATTTTACATTTAAAGTTGATTTATAGAACTTAAAAGAAAGGTAGAAAATTCTCTAAAATGTGCTCGTCTCGTTTATAACGTGAATACTGACAATGTATTAAAAATTTCTTTGAATTAATATCCTAGGTCTAATTTTAACCTCGTTTTCTACTAGTGTTCAGCTAATGATGATAAAAACTCGATAATAAAAACTCGAAATAAAAATTCTTCGATTAATACCCCTCCCTTCCCTCAAAATGCCTTACATTCATAGTTTTTTGATGAGGAATGTCGTTTCTTGAAAAATTTTCCATATATTCGGACCGAACCGAAGAAGCAGCCAAAAATCTATAGTTTGGTACAAATAAGGGCCGAACCTACAAACATAGTTCTAATCGAATCCCCAATAAATCTCAAAAAATCTCTCGTAATTTTCAAACAATTAACTATTCATTTGACTAAAAGAATACAAATAAAATAAAGTCTCGATCAAATAAAAATAAAGCCTTTTAGCAATTATTTATTTATAATCGACTTTAAACGTTCTTTTAATAGGTTTTGTTTGCACGTGTGGCCATTGACACTAAAGAGGGGGAAATAATAAAAGTCAAGAATATAACCCTTATATTTTAAGAATAAAAAATGAAAGGGCCTTACTCTTTTCAAATATTTTTACCTCCCTCCCTCCCCTCAAAAGTGCCTTCACATTCATAGTTTTTTGTTTGGGAATGTTTATTTGTACAGGCGCGAGAATGAGCAAGTTGAGGGAAAGAATTGGTTTAGTAAGAAGAGATGGACATTAGCGATATATAAAAAAATATTTTTTATATATTGAGTTTTTGGTGGTGCAAAGTGGATAAATAAAAAAATAATTTTATGAATTAATTGTAGGGGATTTTTGAAAGAGAAAATATGAGTTTATTAAATATAAGAGATAAGGCTATTTTATTATATTTTTGCTTTCAGAATTTGGGTATGAATGAAAGCTCATTTAAAAAAATTTGAATTTCGATAGGTTTTAGATTTATTAGAAGAATTTAGATATAACTTTGACCTTCCCTGAATTTAACTGCCAAATACATTAAAAAATATAAATAGGGAATATTGCCGTTGAGATCCCAACCCAAAATCAGCACTTAGATTTATATCAATCCCGATTCGCGTGATCGAGATGAACAAATCGGCATAGAGATTTAGGTAAAAAACTGATATCGACCTCGATCTGATAAGCTCATAATGAGATTATCTCGAAATATTTTCAAAAAAATGTCAAGTCTTCAAAATTTACACTATTTAAATTTACTTGCAGGAATACTTGCTGGACCCAATTTTTTTGATATTTTAGATTTGATCTAACAATTTTTTAAAATTAATGTTACAAGAAGGTAAAAATTATTGGAAACAAAAATAATCGAAAAATATTCAATCAAATATAATTCACCTAAAGTAAAAGGATATATAAAAAATTGGGAACGGCCACAAGGCGATCCCTTTAAAACTGAGAAAAATATAGGTGAGGCGATTAAATATAGAAAAGAAAAATAGCCGCAAATGAGGGAAAGGCGGAAGGAAATGAGGGAAAAGTAAAGAGCATATGGCTTTTTGAAGACCTGAAAATATAAAAATTGTTGGTCAATAGTTGAGACAAATAAAGCAATATAATAAAAATATTATTAAATAATTTTTGAAATTATTCAAATAAAAAAACATTTTAGAGAGTAAATATTTAATTAAATGTTCAAATTAAATAAAAATAAATCATTAAAAATTCAAATGAGGAAAATAAAAAAATTGGAATAACTTAAAGTGCCGATGTTTATGTGAGGTTGATTGATGAGTTTTGTATTGGGTTAAACAAAAATTGGGGAATGTAATTATGAAGAATTTTTTTGTATTTTTTTCATTAAAAATAAAAATTTTGAATAAATAAAATAAACGTTTTGGATAAATTATAAACAGTAGAGTTAGCAAATTAAAAATACCTTAAAAACAAAAATGGTTACTAATAAATCAGTTGATTTTTTATCTTTTTATGAATTAATATTATGATCAAAAACGATATTAATTTACAAAAACTGGAAAGATAAAAATTTTGGCTACCCGGAGGAGCCAACAACTTGCTCATACTTTTGAGGATTTTCTCAAGCCTGATGTACCAGGAAGCAATTTTGTTTTTCTTTTTTCTTATAAACTCTTAACCCCACTCCATCTAAAAGTCTTAAATTCTCCCAGAATAATCACCCTTAACTGATCTTGTCCAAATTATCAATTCAACGAACCCTTTAGGACTATTTAATTTACATAAAAACATTAAAATAATTATACTAAAATACAAAAAATATTTAGTTAATAAAATATATTAGCTAGTTAGTGCATTAAAAACAAAAAGTTGTTGAAGCAATTGAAGGCAATATGTATGTTTGTTTGTTGGTTGGTAAAAAGGTTTGAAATTGGCCACCGCTAGATCAGATATAAATGTGATGATCGTTTGTCTGGACTACTTTTCCCCTTTTTTCTTTTCCCTTTTAGCTAGTTAGTAAAAATAAAAAGAAAAATAAATATAGGTTGACCAATTGATATAAGCACAGATGTAAAAAATAATTTTTTTTAAAGTTTTGTTGGAGAGAATCAGTCATTTGGTATTACTTTGCTTTATTGAATGCTTGTTTTCTGTCTCTTTATTTCCTTATATAATTAAATAATCAGATACTTATAAATAAATACATATTAATATCCTCCCTTTTAGTTAGTCACAAATTTTTTTTTTAAAAATTAATCATAATTTAAAATAGAAAAATTTAATGAAAAAGCATCACTTGAAAGCAAAAAACAAATAAAAATTAAAAGTCAAATCGAAAGATCAAATTCAGTATATAATTATGTAAATAAGCAATATTCGATTTAACGTACAAATTACTGATCATTCCCTCCAGCGAGGGTTGAAAAATAATTAGTATAACGGCATTGTCTCGAAAATAAGAGACACGAAGCGATTTATTTTAAGGGGATGAATAATCAAATACCGCATTTCTTCTAAAAATTCACTTGAGAATAAATAAGTATTATAGGACCGAGAAGTATTTTAAGAGAAGTTCTGTGATATTAATAAATTTTAAAAGTAACTAATTTTTTGAAACAAAAATAAAAGCATAAAGCATTTCCTGCCACCTTGAATATGCTAATTTAAAACTAAAAAAATTTCCGGAACTAAGGAAGAAAAAAAAATAATTTATTTGTTCGTTTCTGGAGAGACAAAACAAAAAAACAAAATATTTAATTATTTTTACTTAAATAAATCAAAGATTAATTTTATTTTATATTTAAATAATCGACTTAGCTTTGTTTATTTTATTTTATGTTTTACATTTATTCTTTAAAAATTTAATCTTTGTTTTATATCTTCATTATTATGCAAGTGTTTTTTGGGACAAAATTGTTAATAATAAATAACACCAAACAAATTCTGGCATTGTTTTAGCCCAGAAGTGAATCGAAGGATAAATGAAGACTGTTACTTAATTATAAGAAAATAGATTATAAGGATTCTTAAATTGTTTCCTTGAAAAATTTAAATATGTACAAAGTGTCTTCCTTGTTTATCAAACATACTATGTAGTTTTACTTTCATTCTTCATCATTTGGTATCTCGTTCAGATCAAAAGGATAATTTTTCTCATTTATCTGATTAACAAGAATTTCATTTGTCTCCTGAACCACATTTTTATTTTGCTCATCTACTTCAGCTTCAACTTTATCTTTATTAGTACATTCTTCCCCACTTTGATTGGAGATATTTTCGTCTTCAGACTGAAAGCTCTCTTCGTTAACAATAGGCATTTTACCTTTATTGACAAATTTATCAGTCACTTTATCAACAAAAGAACATCCTTCATTATTTTCTGTCTGAACATTTTTCAATTTCGAGCTTTCATTTTGGAGAATTTCTTTTTCATTTTTCTTTTTTAAATAGTGTTTCCGCCGATATTCTCGCATTTTTTCCTTATTATTTTGACGGAATTTTTTTTCAATATTTAGAACCTTTTCTTTATTATTTTGACGGTAATTCTTTTTATAATTTTTAACTTTTTCTGTGTTATTTTGGTAGTAAATTCTCGCCGTTTGAAGTATTTTTTCTTTCGACTTTTCATACAAATTTCTTTTGTTTTCTAATAATTTTTCTTTATTCTTTTCATAATATCGCTTATTTCCTTCAGCCTTACATTTTGCTCTCCTCAACTTTTTTTCGTCTTCATTATTTCCTTTTTTATCCTTTTTTGTAATTTTAGATCTTGGTTTTAACGTTTCTTTATATTTTTGAATCTGAGGATTGACCGATGATTCAGCCCCATCATTTAATATCTCATTTTGATCACTTGACGTGTAATCATTTTCAACATTTTCAATCAACCCCTTTTCCTTTGTAGAAGTTTTGACAGAAATAATTAAACTCCATAATATCGCATTCAATATTAAAAAAATTAAAAAGCTAAGGAGCTTCATTCTTAAATTATTTCTTTAAAAAATTTATTAAAAAATAATTTAATAAATTTAAAATTTAATTTATATAAGAGAGAACGTCTCGGCAAATTATTTCACTATATTTTGTAATGAAATGTAAATGTTGAAATATAAATATAAGATTGCACTTTTAATTAAAAACAAATTGTGAATCTTTTTTTGATAGTCAGGATAAGATATATAGCGAGCCATAAAAGTTCAATAAAGCTCTGTAAACTAAATTAATAACTCAAGTAATAATTTCACAACAATTTATACAATTTTATGGTTCGGACAATTTATTGAACTAAAAGTGCATTTTGAGAGAAAGTGCATGTATATTATTATATAATTAAAAAAACTCATAATTAATAATATGACTATCTATTATTAACTGAACAGAAGAACCGTCGATTTTTCGGTTAGCCATAAATCCTTCTCTTTAAAAAGTGGAGGATTTTGGCTTCTCTGCCTTCTGAAAATTTAAAAATTAATGACTGCTATGTTAAAAATATAATTGACATGAGAATTGTCTTCCCAAACTTCTCACATTTTAAAATTATAAAGTAGGAAGTTTGATAATTCGAAAGATATTTTATTCTCTTCGAATCATAGACAAAAGATATCTCAATAGCTTTATAAAAGAATAAAATAAAAATACAACAATTTATTAAATTATTGAGAGGTTTATTATACGAAAGAAGAATTCTAAAAAAATTTTTAAAGTTGGCAAAAAATATTTTTCATTTTTTCACATTTTCTACAAATCCACTTCTCCATTTTCACTCTTTTAGCGCTTTTAAATAATGCCAGAAAGTGTGAAACGAAGAAATGACCTTTGGGCTATTTTAATGGCTTATGCTTTTTGTAAGCAAAGTGGTCATGAAATGATGAGTGGGGAATTGATTTTGGAGTGAATAAATAAAAATGCATATATAAATTATGATCCCTAGAGGTGTTAAATTAGGATATATAAAAATTTTAGTAAATAAATAAATTATTTAAAGTAAGTACATAATACTTAAAGAGAAGAAAAAAATTAAAAACGAAAATAAATAACTACATAATAAGCCTCGGGATTAATTTAAATACCAGGTTTGCTTTTGTAGCTTAGAAATTTGCTATTTTTAATTGCTTGTTTAATAATATTTAATATCTGATTTTCTTTATTTAATTTGGTAGGAGTCTCCAACAGAGGTGGGCCGGAATTCCGGTTTCCGGCTCTTCCGATTTCCGACACCTCTGAATGTTCCGGCCCACCTCTATTTCCACTAAATTTTCAATTCTATTAAGAATATTATTAAAATTTTGAATTAATTTTATTCATTAATTTGATTTTATATTTGCATTATTTCAAAATAAAAAAAATATAAATATATTTTATTTATTAAAATCAAAGCAACCTGTCGCGAGAATTAAGAAATAAATTCAACAAATAATAATGAAAAATATCTTTTCCAACTTTTTAAATAAAATTTTTTAGTATTCCTTCTTTGTATAATAAATCTCCCAATTAATCTAAGATTTATTGTTTCTATTTTTTTGTAAAACTGCTGAAATAAGATATTCTGTTGTCTTCGAAGAGAACAGAATATCTTTTGGATTATCAAACTTCCCATTTTATTATTTGAAAATGTTACAAATTTGGGAAGATAATTCTCAAGTTACTTACATTTTTAACACTGCAGTCATTAATTTTTGAATTTTCAGAAGGCCAGAAGGCCAGAAATCCTCCACTTTCTAAAGAGAAGAGGATTTATGGCTAACCAAAAAATCGACGGTTCTTCTTTTCGATTAATAATAGATAGCCCTATTATTAATTATTATTAGTTTCTAATTAAGTTCAACTTATACATACACTTTTATCTCAGAAAGCTATGCACTTTTCTTTCAATAGATTGCCCGACCTATAAAAATAAATAAATTGTTGTGAAATTATTGTTATTTCATATTTGTCTGTTATTAATTTATTTCACAGAGCTTTATTTAATTTTTATAATTCGCAATACATATATCTTATCCTGACTATCAAAAAAGATTCACAATTTGTTTTTAAATAAAAGTGCAATTCTCACATTTATATTTCAACATTTATATTTTATTACAAAATATAGTGAAATTATTTGTCGAGACGTTCTCTCTTATATAAATTAAATTTTAAATTTATTAAATTATTTTTTAATAAATTTTTTAAAGAAATAATTTAAGAATGAAGCTCTTTAGCTTTTTAATCTTTTTAATATTGAATGCGATATTATGGAGTTTAATTATTTCTGTTAAAACTCCTACAAAGGAAAAAGGGTTGATTGAAAATGTTGAAAATGATTACACGTCAAGTGATCAAAATGAGATATTAAATGATGGGGCTGAATCATCGGTCAATCCTCAGATTCAAAAATATAAAGAAACGTTAAAGCCAAAATCCAAAATTACAAAAAAGGACAAAAAAGGAAATAATGAAGACGAGAAAAAGTTGAGGAGAGCAAAATGTAAGGCTGAAAGAAATAAGAGATACTATGAAAAGAATAAAGAAAAATTATCAGAAAATAAAAGAAATTTGTATGAAAAGTCGAAAGAAAAAATACTTCAAACGGCGAGAATTTACTACCAAAATAACAAAGAAAAGGTTAAAAATTATAAAAAGAATTACCGTCAAAATAATAAAGAAAAGGTTCTAAATATTGAAAAAAAATGCCGTCAAAATAATAAGGAAAAAAGGCGAGAATCACGGCAGAAACACTATTTAAAAAAGAAAAATGAAAAAGAAATTCTCCAAAATGAAAGCTTGAAACTAAAAAATGTTCAGTCAGAAAATAATGAAGGATGTTCTTTTGTTGATAAAATGACTGCTGATTATATTAATAAAGGTAAAATGCCTATTGTTAACGAGGAGAGCTTTCAGCTTGAAGAAGAAAATATCTCCAATCAAGGTGGGGAAGAATGTACTGATAAAGATAAAATTGAAGATGATATTGAGCAAAATCAAAATCTGGTAGAGGAGTCAAATAAAATTCTTGATGATAGCATAAATGAGAAAAATTATCCTTTTGATCTGAACGAGATACCTGAAGATGAAGACTGAACGTAAAACATGTTTGATAAACAAAGAAGACATTCTGTACATACACTCTGTCATGAAAGTTTAAGCAGTCCCAAATTTTAGTAAAAACTAGGGTTTGACCCCGAACGTTCGGGGGCGGGTATGTCGGGGTACGGGGTTTTCGATTTGTTTCGGGGCGGGGTTCGGGTCGGGGGAGCAAAATATGCTCGGGGTTCGGGTCGGGGTACGGGGGTTTACTGGAAAAATTTTTTAAAGAAAAAATGCTCTAAAAATAAGCATTTTCGGTCTATTTTTGTTAATTTATTCAGAAATTAAGGGGAAATAGAGGAATTAGAGATAATATAAGAGGTTTTTTAGGGATTAAATGTGATATGAAGTGTATAACTGAAGATATCAGGGGATTTGGAGGGAATAAACGTGGTTTCATGGGATATCAGTGATTTTGAGGGATAATGAGAGAGGCATATAAAAAGGCATTTGCAGAGAGAGATTTGAAGGCAAATAATTTGAAAATTTGGAAGGCGATTTAATCTGTTTTAGCGCCGCAGGCGAAAATTTTGGAAATTTTGAAGGCCAAGGAGCAGATTTTCTTTTTAGTACAGTTAGAGATCAAAAATAGTTTAATTCTTAGGGGCATAAGGATATTGGGGATTAGGGATTTTAAGGGATTACATGGATGTCAGGGGTTTTGTCTGATATTAGGGTATATATCGGATATCAGGTTTTCTCTTCCTTTCCTGCGCCGCAGGCGAAAATTTTGAGAATTTGGAATGAAGGAAGTATTTTAACACTAAACAAAAAATCTTTAGATGTTTATTATGACTGGTAATATTTAAAAATAAGATTAACATTTAAAATTAAATTAAACTCGTGCTTTTGTAAAGAAAAATCCCAAAACAAACGATTCATCTTATTTGGATCCGAACCCAATCCAATATTAATGGAAATATAGGCTAAAACCAACAACTAAGCCACTCAACCACAAGTCTCTTAACAGACTAGGAAAGAGAATTTTGATATTTCATTCATTTTTCTTTCAAAAATAATAAGGGCAAAGTAAATTGAGAGGAAATTTTTAAAATTTTTCTCTTAAAATTCTCCCAAAAATGACATTTTTCGAGTATATAAAACCCCGATAGCCCCGAAACTTTTCGGGTCGGGGAACGGGGTTTTCACTTTTGTTCGGGGCGGGGTTCAGGTCGGGGAGAATCGTGAAAAAATCGTTCGGGAACGGGGTCGGGGTTCGGGGAACGGGGTCGGGGTCAAACCCTAGTAAAAACGAAATAACCCCTAAGCTTCAACTTTAAGAAAATTTACCAACCCCTTATGGTTGTTTCAAATTTTCATTTTGAGCACATTTGAAAGCCCATTAAATTTGCTACAAGATAACAATAGTTAAATTTCGAGAAAAAATTTAACAGCAAGATATAGGGAGATAATTTTAGGAAGAAACCTTAAGGCGCATTTTACGGGGCATTCTTTTGTCTTTCTTTGAAATACAAATTTAGAATTTAATAACTTAATTAAATAATTTTTCTGAAAGATAAGCTTATTGCTATTTGTAGCAAATTTAATGGGCTTTCAAATGAGCCCAAAATAAAAATTTAAAACAAACCATAAGAGGTCAAAAACTTCTCTTAAAGTTGAAAAACCATGTTTTACGTTAATTTTCAGGGTATCGAGTCTCGACACTGGAATGAGATATAGGCCTAATTCTTTTTTTTATTCTATATAATATCGATAGACATATTTACTGCATTTTTTGTAAAATTTTACAGTAAGTAGAAGTAAATTTTTACAGGGGTGCTTATACTTTTGTGACACATAAGTTTCGAGAAAATTCAATTTTAAAATTTTATAATTGATAAAATTTTCTGAAAATTTATTTTTATTGATGTCTTAGATCGCAACTAATGTAAGAAAAAAATAAGAAAAAATGCGTGTTTTCACAAAAATTTTGGGATGATTATACTTTTGTGACAGAGTGTAGTTCAATTTTTCAAGGAACCATTTAAAAATCTTTATAAATTATTTTCTTATAATTAGAGTAACTGTCTTATTTAAAAAATTTTTTATTGATTTAAAAATGTATCTAATCTCAACATTTTTACAAAAAATAAAAACAGCTAAAAAAAGAGAAAACTTTTATTAGCTGCCAAACTCAGGCTCAGAATTTATGGTTTCCCCAGGGAAAAACATGTCAAAAGGCTTTTTTTAGTTTGGTGTTAAGCTTCCTTATATTAACTTTAAAAAATTTATACGCTCTTAGAAAATTTGAGAAAAAATGCAAAATTATAGGGCATAAACCTTGAGGTTTTTTGAGAGTTGTTTGGGTGGTTTTTAAATTTTAATTATAGAAAATTAGAAAAATTACTATTTTAATTTTAAATTGAATAGAAATAAATTAAGAAAAAATTTTTTTGATTATACTTTAGTACATTTAACATCAACTTAATTTTTTAATTCTAATTAAAGACAGCCATAAATTTAAATCCTTAAGTATAACCGAATAGCTACATAACTAAATCTAATCCTCAAATTTCAGTTGAATATTGCAAAAAGTTTCTTGCATTAACTATAAAAATTCTAGTAAATAATTATGAGAAAAAATGGAAAAAACAAAAACAATAGGCTTAAATAATTAAATAAGCTTAAAATTATTTAAAAAAAATTTTTTATTTAAAAATAAATAGGCTTAAATTAGGGAAGTCTTAGAAAATTGAATTGAATTATTCTACTTTTTTTCAAAATTTAAAATAAAATTTAAATAAATAAGTCAAGTTTAGATTTTCTTTAAATAATATTTTTAGCATTTAAAGAAAGGAAAACGGCATTAAAGTCTAAAAATAAAAAAGGCTTAATATTAACTGATGTAATGGATAAAACTTGGTGGCGCGTAAAAGTCCGGAAACGAGAAAAGAAAATTTTTAAATGTGGAAAGAAAATGCGCGGAATTAAAAATAAATTTTTAATAAAGAATAATATTTTTGAAATAATCTTAATGTCCGGGGACATAACTACTTATACATATGTATTTAAATGATTAATGACAACAACAAAATTAAAATGCTTGTGGTATTTGGTATTAATTTTCAATATTCGTGGACCTATATTCGGGTTCGGATTTGACTTTTTCAAAATCTGAGTTCAGATTCATAATCAGCGTACTTTTTTACCCTAAAAAAATCATTTTTCTTATTTTTAAGATTTTTTCCCGCAGGGACCCCAATTCTCCTGGATTGCCAATTAGCCAGTAAATTTGTATAATTAACTTCAACACAAAATTAAAATTATTATCTCGAATTTCAAAATTCCTTAGAAATATTTTTAATAAAATTTAAAGGAATAAAATTAAAGAAAAAGCCAAAAGCAGCTTAAAAGCGTTCTCTAAGCGCAAGTTCGATTAATTAGCCTCTAGAGAAATAAAAATAAGCTAAACAAGCGGAAGCCAAAGAGTGAAAATGGAGAAAAGTAAAAACAAGTTGGGAGGGTTGGGGCCTTATAACGCAATTGACCAGTCGGAAATGTTGAAGGAATGGATGGATGGGGAATTTTAGAAATTGGCTTATGGATGTGAATAAATAGGGTATAAAATATAGAAAAGATATAAATGTCAAAATTGTGGAATAAAAATAAAAAGAAATTGGAGAAGGGAAGAATTTTTAGAAAAATAAAATTTTAAAAATAAAATTTAAAGGGAAATAATTTCAAAAAAGGATGGTTGATCATGAAAGGCCCTGAACACTTGAAATACTTTTGAAATTGGAACAAATTGAAGATTTCTGGTTTAGTTTTTGTTCGTTTCGAATATCAGAATAATCTATACACCAAATATCTCTATTAATGAGGAGCACACCAACAGCTCACCAACATTTTTACTTAAAGAATAAAATAAGTTTTGAGGAAGTCTGAGGTTTAATTCATAGTTTAAAGCTTCATTTACATATTGTCAGAATTTTATTCAAAATAAGTTTAAAAATATTCTTGAATGAATTTTTAAAAAGATTAATAGGAGCTTAAAAGTTTTAATAATCTAATTAGATCACAATAGACATGCTGGCCCTGAACTACTTAGTCTACTTTACCTACAATTTCACCTTTGTCAACATGAAAATTTCTGCTTTGAAGAAAGTGTTTTTGTGTCAAGAAGATTTTGATAAATCTTGGACAGACCCTAACTAAAATAAAAAAAAGATCGAAAATGGAAATTTTTGGAAAGTATTTGGGGACCTAATCATTAAATTCTGATATGGCAGTCACTTAGGTTTGTCAGGATTCTACATTATGTTTCTCTAATTTCTTAACTAATTACAAAAATATATAAATTGAAAATAAAAACATTTAAGAATTTCCCAAAAATAATAAAAACAAGTTTAATTATTTAAAACCAGAAAATTAACATTAGATAATGGTTTTACAATTTCCTATAATTTCTTAGAAATTTGTTTTGTTTTTTTACAAAAGATCCCCTAAAATCCCCTCAATAAATAGTTATTCTTCTTAAAAAACCAATAAAATATATTTATGTGTGAAGGGCTGTGACGGATTTTTTCTATTATATTTGCAACAGAATTTTATGTCATTAGAGCAATTTCTGGCGAAATATAAAATGGCTAGTCAAAAGGAAAAATAATTTTTTTACAAAATCCTTCAAAAGGCAACCCTAAAAAGGTATAAAAAAGGGACCTTAGCACTTTTGATTGGCTTCTGGCGTCTATAAAGAGCAATGTAATTGACAGAAAAAAAACAATAAACGTGAGGAAATGAGGGATTTTTTGAGGAAAATTAGAAAAACTAAAGGGGTCTGAACTCGGATGTCGTTTGAATCAGAATTTAAAATTTGAGAATGGATAGACTTTTTGTGTTTTTAAATTTTTTGAATAAAGAATTGAATTAGCTATAAAATACAAAAAAAATTATAATTTTTGCTATAGTAAAACATATAGCTTAAGGATGATTAATTAACACATTAAAATTAATACATCCTTAATTCTTAAGGATGAGCAGTGTGGTGTAATGGATAACATATCAGTCAGGTCTACTGAAGATGCTGGTGCCTCCCCCCCAGCCGCTGATTAACCTTTTGCACTAGCTAAAGGAGAGAAATAACTATAGCCCAGCTGCTTTATTCTACTGTCCAAAAATCGTGTGGGCAAAAAACTGACGTTTTGCTAATTTTCATATAATTTTTTCGACAACATTTTAATTAGTTATTAAAAATATTATTTAATTTATATATCTCATTTACTTAACTATTAATTAATAACAAGTACTTTTAATTTATTTTTGAATTAAAAGACAATACTTTACTTATAGGTTCCCCGATGCGCATCGGCTTGGATTGCCGGATTAAAAAAATAAAAGAAGGAAAGGCATATGGTTTTGGCTTTTTTGAGGTTTTATTAAGAAATTTAGAGGAGAATATATTAGCGGTATAAAAAAGGAGAAAAAGAAATGATTGGTTTTAATATAAAGCTGAAACATAATTTTAAGACGGATTTGTGGAAAAATAGATTACTTGGCTTTTTAAAGGAAATATTAAAAATAAATAATAAATTAATATTTATTTGAGGAAAAAGCAAGGAACAAATAAATAATTAAAATTAAATAATAAAAACAAAGTTAATTAAAATTAAAAATTAAATTGAAGTTTTTAAATAATTTAAGAAATATTTATTAAATTCCAAAAAATCTGTGTAAAA